CAAAGTAGTGGCGAATGTAGGAGGTGGCCTCCTTCGGCCACAATCCAGCCCTCATCTGAAGTCTGGAGCTAGTATAGCAAACGAGACTCGATTACTTCTAGCTATCTCTGTTTGTCTTTCGGTCCAATGTTAGTTACTATCTAATTTTTCTATTCAAATACGACATAATGCCCTACTATGTTGTTCAACATTCTCCAAAGGACGGCTACGAAACTCGGCCACAAAAACGGATCGTCCAAAGTCCGGCGCATTCACCAACGCAGCCATCGATTGGTGGCTCGATCTGTAGCCATTAAAAAGTTCCGGCTGACGTTGCTTTAATCATTTGTTAATGGACAAATTAGAGTCATATTTCCACCTAACACAGGAAAAGTATTATTGGTGTCAAACAGATCCAAAAACCCAGATACCTAACACACAGCATCAGTAAGCAATAAATATTCTCGCCAGAGTTTAAGAAAAGGAAAAAGAGACACTGTCTTTGCATTTATTTAACCAAATTTGGGGTTTACTTGTGAGAATGTTCGAGTCTCCACATACGACGAGCAACAGCTTAAAACTCAAGAGCCTGACTATCAAAAGCTTCGAGAACCTGTTTAAGTTATATGGGCAGGTCTATGGTTACACTTCTAAGTCACTTTAAGTCAACGTGACTTGAACAAACGGTCGACCTTTTTCGACAGAGGCTCGATCGTTTATAAACATTCTATCGAATGACATACTTATTTTCTATCTACGTAATAATGGATAACAAAAGGTCTACAATACGTAATTGTTTTGTAATAGTACAATATCATGTCTCCTGTGGACAATCAAATATCTACGAAGGTTATAGGCATAGGTAAACTTTCTAACATTTATGGAATAAGAACCTACGGAAGCAAGATGACACTCTTCTCCCTAAGGACAACCATATGATAACGTTCGGGCTCATATATTCTAAACTTTCGATCGAATTGAGGGCTTTCGGCGCCTTGAATTCATTCTTTGTCGGTCTTGCGAGTGGTCCAAGCTATGCCCGAAAAGGGTGCTTCCGGTGTCAATATGTGATATCATAGACAGTAAGATAAAGAGGATTCTTATGAGGAGCTTAAGTTGGCAAGCCCAAAACTCATCTTGCAAACGCATCCATCCCGATTTCAACATAGAAAGCATGGATTCGCATCGCCTACTTGCCGAAAACAAAAAATGGAATGGAATTCTATGATAAAAATAAAGACTTCCTTCTTGCTCGAGCTATGGCTACTGTTAGGAGCTCGTGTGTCATTTTTTTCATGATTGATTCTCTGGCTGTCTGAGCAGTTCGGTTGCGCCTTTCCTCTTTCTGTGAACTTTCGCTCCTGCTCACTTCATTCGAGACTTCTAACCTTTCCTTTTAGGCTCACTACTTCATCATGGACGTTGAAGATCAAACAATGTTATAACAATGATACCAGTTTTAAGTCTATTGGTAGCAACAATAGCAAGAAAAATGCTCCATCCTAAGACAATTATAGAATTATAAACACAAGTGAAAATAGAATTTGAAGGAAAGATGAAAGTTTGTATAAAGGAAGTCAAATCTTAGATACAAAACTGCATATTCCATATCTGCAAGAGAACAATCACCTTAAAACTTCTCACGTATGGTCCAAGTTTTGTACTTACTTCAGCTCACTTACCAGCAAACATATCCATTAACATTGGAGGTTTGTAACCAAATACGTCGATTTTATCAACAATAGTTCAATAGGTCGACCTTTTTTTCCAAATCACAGTAACTTGTAAGTCACTATAGCAAAGTTTTCATAAGATCCTCTTACAACAAAAGTTCAATCTCATTTTGAACCCACCAAACCGCATACTCAAACTATGTAGTTCTTTCAATTTAGTGAAGCTTTTAGAATTAAGTTGGATAATGTCTATTTGTTATCCAAACCTTTTTCAATTCTTTTATATTATCCAAACCTATTAAAATTCTATTAATTATCCAAATCTTTCATAATGCATCAAATATTAGTCATTTTTACGTTATCGTTAATAATTGTGTAACTCTTTTCTCAGTTAAATACTAAAATTGTGGAATGTTGACCTTCATATGTCTCTTCCAGGTCAGTATCACGTTGCCTATTCAATATTACTAACAAAATTGCTAACTGGAAGTTAACATTTGCCTAATTCTTAGTATTTTGATAGATTTGGATAATATAAAAGAATATGAAAAAGATTTGGATAAAAATAGACATTAACCAATGAAGTTTTACTTAGAACTTTTCTTTGAAGATTTAAGCGAGTTTGAGAATTATTAAAATTCATACGATCCTCTGTTTCTTCTTGTTAGACGAAAAAGACAATACGAACAATAAGAATTAAAGATTGATCCTCAAAGAAAAATCAAAACTAATGACAATATATCACTTAAAATCAAAGATAGGTTTAGAAGAATAGCCTTAAAAAAAAAAAGACTCCCAAGCGATGGAAAGATTTGACATAGGAGTTAGAATATCAAGAAGGGTTAATACCTTATTTTGGCTCGAACTATGATCATATAATCAACTTTGGCCCGTGGTTTCAGAAATTAACATCCTGATCTCAACTATGCAGCATATAGACTCAATTGGCCCGACATATAGTTTGACTGTCAATTTGGACGGTCAACTTCGTTGACCGTTAGTCAACACGCCATGTCATTGCCTAGTCAACCTAAAAATCATTAAAAAAATTATTTATTATCAAATTAACCAAAAATAAATTATAAAAAACAAAAAATAAATTTATTTATTTTTATTTTTTGGATAATTTGAAAATGATAAATTTTATAAATTAACCAAAACTTATCAAATTATTTTTTATTTTTAAAACTTCCCAAAAAAATATAATTTATATCATAATTTTTAAATTATAAAATTTAATTTGATAATTTTGGTTAATTTATAAAATTTATCATTTTCAAATATCCAAAAAATAATATTTTATATTTTTAGAATTTTATTTTTTGGTTAATTGGAAAATGATAAATAATAGAAATTAGGAAAATAATTTGAATTTGAATTTTTTTAATGATTTTTATGCTGACTAGGCAATGACATGGCATGTTGACTAACGGTCAACGGAGTTGACCGTCCAAATTGACGGTCAAACTATGTGTCGGGCCAATTGAGTCTATATGTTGTATAGTTGAGGCCATGATGTTAATTTCTGAAACCACGGGCCAAAGTTGATTGTATGGTTATAGTTCGGGCCAAAATAAGGTATTAACCCTATCAAGAATGTGAATCATGTTAGAGGACAAACTCCCTTCAATGACAACTATTACCATCCGATAAATTATATTATGGGGTCGTTTGGAAGTTGCGATTGTTAAATAGATTTATTGTTGAGAATGCATGTATAATATTATACATGTATTGTCGAATTTGATGCATTGTAGAATACAACGTTTGGTATGTGTGATTGTGTATGTCGCATCAGCTAAAAGCTGAGACAAAACAATCTCAACTCAACTATCTCAACTAGGGATGACAATCAAACCCATGACCGCGGGTATCCGACCGCCCCCGACCCAGTCAACGCGGGGAATCCCCGCTTTGACCGGGTATGGGGCGGGTATGGGTAAAACCCGCAAAAAGTTTGATGGGTATGGGGCGGGTATGGTTTTAGCCTCCCCCGCCCCATACCCGCCCCACCGAGATAATTTCTTCATATATAAAAAAAAATATGTGCATCAAATTATAATCTATCAATGATGATGAGGATAACTTGAGAAAATAAATAGTAGAAATGCAATTGATTGACCACCTTAATCAAAATCTAATTCATTTCTCTCAATTCTCATTTCACTCTTTCACTTTCCCCCTTGTCAACAAGATTATGTTAGTTAATTGTTATTTAGTAGATATATCAGAGTTAGAACATAATTTGAAAAATATTATACTCTATATTATGCATTAATGGTGATTTTAGGATCATAATCTTTGAACCATATTAATAAATGACCGTGTTTTATTGACTTCATGATATAATATGTTCGTTTAGAATTATAATTAGAACTTTTCTTGTAAGTTTTAGGTATAATAATGTTGGATGTATGGGTATGGGTATTACCTATGGGTACCCGAAACCCACGGGTATGGGGATGGGTTTGCAAAACATTCCCCCGCATGGGTATGGGGCGGGTATGGGTTTGGGTATTTGAAGATGGGTATGGGGATGGTTTAAGCAAACCCGCCCCAAACCCGCTCCATTGCCATCTCTAATCTCAACAATCACAACTAAAAGTTGAGATATAACAATCACTCAAAATGAGTGATAGTTTCTGTCACATCACAGTCCTAAAAAAAAACAAAAAACGATACATTGTAAACAATACATGCATAATGACAATCTCAACAAAACTATCACAACTTCCAAACGACCCCATATTTCCATTAGGAAAAGAAACTCAACCCTTGCTATATGGAGGTGTAAATTCTTCTCACCAAAACCAAACACTGCTAATAACACGGTTGGGCAAGAGTTTTGTTTGAGGTATCACTATGAATTTCTAAAGAGAAATCTTTCAGCGTGTCACACAATTAATATTTCACAAACCTTGTGAGATCCCTTGAGTGGGGATGGGATACAAATACCATTTACTTAAACAAAGATATGACAAGAGGATTTCCCGATAACTTAGAGACTTCTTCTCATAAGACCAACCCCTGCTCCATTTGAAACGCTTTCGAATGCTCTCTCAACATATCAGGAGATCAAGGGTCGTCTATGTCGAGCACGAGACACAATTTTCATTAAACGAGCTGAACAACTCAAATCAACACTCAACTCCGCTTATTCGGAGTTCTAATTTGCCTTATGGTTGGAATTTCATCCTCGTACCACTCCCTTTCTTTCACCTTCCTTCTCTAGCAACACATACAATCGCCAATATTTGATCCTTTTTTTTCCCCCCCCATTTTTACATAGTGAAATACAGTTTTGTTTCTTTCCATTGCTGGGGCGGGGGAACAAGATTGGGCCCACGCGTTACCGCGTGACTTTTATTCCACGCCAGACTGCTGGCTGAGGGAAGGAGAGAGAAAGAAAGAAATGAAAGGACCCCACCACCAGCAATTGAGAGCTAGTCCGGTCCTCCATTTTATGTAAATATACCAAAACCAGTCTCTGAAAATTTGTTTTCTTCCTTTCGAGTCCTTGTACTATGCATTATTCTTCTTCAAAAAACCATTTTGCCTAGTTTTCCTTTTCCGCTACATAACATTGAACATAAGACATAGTCATGGAAATGTGGGGAAGTCACGGGACAAGCCACAAGATAGCATGATAACACTTATACGACATTAAAAACAATAGGAGAATAGAAATTAATGGGAGAAAATTGATCAAACCAATTTTTTTTCTTAAAAAAAAAAAATACAAGACTACCTATCTCATGCCTCCTATATGCTTCAGTATGAAAACAACACCCTGGAGTTCTTATTGTAGCGTTTCCCTTAATTCGCCTTTACCCATCCCGTGGCAGGTCATTACCAATTTGGATATTGTGTATTCTTGAAACACGTACCGAGGCTTCATACCTATTCAAATATGCGTTTTCATTAGAAAAAAGAAAAGAAAAAACAAACAAGTACATTTTAAAACCAGAGATAACGACATGATTAATGAAATCAAATAGCTTGGAGAAATTGAAAATCTCACATATGAATAACTGAAACACGTTCTGAAGCTTCATACCTATTCAAATATGCATTTTCATTAGAAAAAGAAAAGAAAAAACAAACAAGTACTTTTTAGAACCAGAGATAACAACATGATTAATGAAATCAAATAGCTTGGAGAAATTGAAAATCTCACATATGAATTGACTACATTCGACTCCGAATATGATATTATATAACTAAATATAAACAATTTGACTAAATACTAAATCAAAGATAAACTCAACGAGTCAGGAATGACGAGTTAGGCTGGGACAAGGACCAGAGCCACACCACACACCAGCCCCCCCCCCCCCCCCCCCCCCCCCCCCCATTACTCACCCAAAATATCGTTGAAACAAATCGAATAATGTACACACTAGGTCGAAATTGTCATCCTATCCCCCTAAAACTTTTGCCCTTAGTTTCACCTTCTAAACAAAGGATTTAAAAGAAAATAAACATATCGCCAAAGCATCTACGAGGGCCAAAAATGCAATAACCCCCAAAAATGAATTCAATAATAAACAAAAATAAAAGAAGAAAAAAGATAGAAGCAAAGAGATAATGGAAGCGGATCCCACCCACCACTAGCTCTGAGAAGAAAAGAAGGCGGAAATCAGGGGAGAATTCAGAGGAAGGACGAAAACGAAAAAAAGTCAAGAAAAAGATTCCTTTTCCTCTCCGCCTTCTCCCATCTACATCCTAACTGCCCTGCAACCTCATTTGCCACCTCTCCCATCCCTTTCCCTGTCACACATACTACGAATTACGATCCTCTTATTCTACAACCACAGCCCCCGTTTCTGATTCCTGGCCTTTTCTTTTTGTAATCGTCCAAAAGCTCACCAGAGAGAGAGAGAGAGAGAGAGAGAGAGAGAGATGAACCTTCCTGAAGGTGTAAGAATCAAGCTACAACAGGCATGTTCACGTCCTATGTAATCAAACTCAGAATCGCTTTAAACGTATATTTTGCTTTGGCCAATTTGGGTAATGAGTAGATGTGGTCTGGGAACAGGAAAAGGTGTTACCTTTACCGCAGCTAGTAGGACTTGGCAAAAATGGCGACTTCGTCGGCTGGTTGGCCAGTCATCAAGCATGTCTTGGTTCCTGCGGGCTGTTCGAATGGGAAGCATCGGATGGTTGCTCCGGTTTCTTCTTTCACTCTTGCTTCGTCTTTGTCGCTGCGCGACGAGGGAGTAACCAATTTGAGGGGAAAGGGGAACTGAAAAGGAGAATGACTGAAGGAAGATGAGATTAATACGAGTACCTTGCGGACCAAGGACCCCTTGCCCATTTGCCCTGGGATATAGCTTCTTTAAGTTCGTCATACGAGCTCACGTCGACAATGTTACTGCGAACGAGTGAGACGAAGGCAACGGTGTAATTTGATTTCTTGAGTGAAAAGCAATGAATGAAAAAGTAAAAAAAAAAAAATCTTATATTTCCAGTGTTTAATCAGAAGGAATAACAAAGAGCTATCATGTAGATGATACTAGGACGAAAATATACCTATCTCGGAATGATGTGGCTTTAGCCAGCAGGGATGCTTGGATCTCGTCCAGCTTGTCTTTCACATAACCTACTAAAGTTGAAGGCTCCATTGATATTTCAAAAACTTTTCCTTGCTTTCCAGGAACATCTCTCCTTGATATCACAACACTTCCGCTTGCAACATCTCGAGGACCAATCTCAATCCTAATAGGGACTCCCTGCAAAAACCCAAGCCAACTATTTTACTTGATGGATTCGGAGTAGGGGGACAAACAATTGTGTGTATAGCTTAGGTTTAGAAGAGCTACCTTCATCTCCCAGAAATTGAACTTCCATCCAGGGGTTCTCATGTCCGAGTCATCGAGTTTGACTTTCACACCAGCGGAGTGCAGTGCTTCTTTTACAGAGGACGCAGCATTCAGAACCCCAGCCTTTTCATCATCCTTTTTCCATATGGGCACAATCACTACCTGTAATGCAAATCCATATATCAGGACAAGGCAATTGCAGCACAAATTCCCTTTTCCGATTTAATACGAGTAACGGCGAGAAGGATTTTGAACAAACAAGTTCTTATGTATTAACAGGAAAATATATGGTGCTATTGGGTATCCTTCCCTTAGGTGAAAATATATCAGGGCTGGAATGTTTTCATATCCAAGATCCTTGAAAAGAGCAAATCTGAGTGTCCCGGCAGAGTGAAGCACAAGTACCTGAACTGGTGCAAGTTTGGGAGGAAGCATTAGGCCAGCATCATCTCCATGTGTCATGATAATCCCACCAACAAAACGTGTACTCACAGCCCATGATGTTTGCCATACATGTTGCCTCTGCCCATTCTCATCAGTAAACTGAACAAAGAGAAAAGAACATAAGTGAACTACTTGGAATATAACCTTTTATTTCCTAAGTGAGATATTCAGAATCACCATTTAACAAAGTAGCCAAGCCAGAAATAATGCAGTAGTCTCAAACTGGTCCCGGAAGGATTCAGAACATCGATTATCGCATAACAAAGGAAGCTCCTTGGTATTCAGACTGTAACCACGAGCCCTACTCGGTTGACGAGACAGTAAAATGGAGACACTCGGATTGGCAAAATTGGCAGTGATCCTTGCAAGACATCAAACCAGCCTTAGGCATGTTGCCTATGGTGTTGCATACATATTAAGAGTTATAGAAAGGCAGTATCAAAAGTTACACTGTCACACCAGTGGGAATACAACCAAACAACATCAGGATACGGTACTGAAAATCAAGCTAAGTTACTTGCCACAGTAATTCATGCAGTATTAACTTAAGTCTCCGCCAACTAAAACCCATCACAAAAAACTGCCTCGAAAACTCAAGTACTGGGACTATGTAGACATATATCGAAGGATAAGGACAGAATACAAAACACCAAGACTCAAAGCAAGAAGTACTTTCTTATGAGCATATATTGTATCTACCATCCAACTATTCCCACGCTAGTTTGTATTTTAATCCAGTTACAGTTTAACAAAGTTGAGCAGCAAGCTATGGTGGATGACATGGTTACAGACAGGTCATATAGGATCATAACAAAGTGATGGATTGTATTTGAAGAAACCAATTCAAAAATTGAAAAAGCTATCCAATTCACGATATAACTGTCAAATTAAAGATCTTACACTAAACATCAAGAAATTACCTGCGTTTCAAAAGCCCGAGAAAAGTTCTGCCCGAGGTTATGGCTGGTTCCGGCCTGCAAAGCCTTTCTATCACCCATCATAGCCTCTATTGTATACGTTCTAACAGCTCCAGCAAATGTTTCTTCTCTGGATTTTCTACCTACAACCACTGGTATTGCAGCCTCCTCGTAAGCAAACTTTGTATAGACATCAATCATTTTCAGAGCCTGCAGTTCAGTAGTAGCAAGTCCATAAGCAAGATACAACCTTTGCACACAACTACACATCTTCATAAATAAATGAGATGTACTATGTTTGCATACAACTGCACATCCTTGTCAATAAATGAGATGCAAACCTCTTCTTCCGCCTCTTCTGGAGTTGCATGAGCCGTATGACCCTCCTGCCACAGGAACTCGAGAGTCCTCACAAACGGTTTGGTGCGCATTTCCCATCTAGTGACATTTGCCCACTGAGGTAGCAGATCAATACTTCAAATAATTACACGCGAACAATGCACCCTTCACATAAAAAAAATGTTTTACTCTCACCTGGTTGATCAAAAGAGGCAGATCACGATAACTATGAATCCACTGAGTAAACATGTGACTAACTATGGTTTCGCTAGTGGGTCTCACCTGCCACAACCTCAACGAGTGAAGAAATCAAAAGACCAAAACTCAGACCACCGTTGTTGTTAACAAACTTAACAAACATTCACATCTCTCAACAATGTAAAACACTAGAACACTACATTCTGAAGCAAGAAAGGACAAGGTTCAATCTACGTACCACGAGCTTTTCTTCGAGTTCTTTTCCGCCTCCAATAGTTACAACAGCCAGTTCAGGACTGAATCCCTCAACATGACTAGCTTCTTTCTCAATAAACGAATACGGTATAAACTGCAGCCGCAATTGAACCACACGATTACTTGATTGCTGACTAGCACAAATGGCTTATCTGACACTTACAAGCTGTTTCGAATTAGGAAAAGAAAAGACACCATTACCTGTGGGAAATACATGTTGCTATGCCCGGTCTCCTTGAATTTGACATTCAAATAGTCCTGAATCAAGAGCAAAACCAATTCAAATTAAGCTAATTGTAGCAGAAAAAAAAAAGCCATAGGAGCAATCTTCATACCAGCTCTTATCCGCACCTGAATTGCCTCCCAGATGGCGTAGCCGTATGGGCGAATGACCATAGTTCCCCGAACGGGGCCATAATCAGCGAGCTCGGCATTAGCAATCACATCGAGGTACCAAGCGTTGAAATCCTGCGAACGAGGCGTGATGACTCGGTCCTGGTTCACCTTATTACTATTACTACTCTTCTTCTGGTTCGCAGCTAGCTCCTCGGTGGTCTCCGGCAGACTAGACGCAGCACTCTGGGCCGAAAACCTCGCCGCGGCGAGGTAAGGCTGCCGCCGGCGGAATAGAGCAGCCGGAGCTCGATGAGTTGACCGAGAAGAGGCGAAGAAGAGGGAGGTGAGAGACGGCAGCCGGAGAGACGATACTATCACCATTTCTCGGGGAGCGGAGTATCCGGGGAAGTTTTTTTCCCGTCGGAAAGAAGGATGAGGCTTTTGCTAAGAAGCGCCGCGTAGAGAGAGAGAAACAAATAGCAGCTTAGCCAGCTTATTCACAACTGATTGGGCTTGGTCTGGTTTCAAGGAGTCCATAATACGAGTTGTTGGATCAAAGCTCCAAAAAGATTTGTTTCCAGCTGGGCCTACTGGCCCAAGAACTGAGAAGCTATAGCAAATCCACAACAGACAACATTTATGCTTTAGTCAATGACACTGGAAGAAAGAAGAAAGAGGTCTACATTACTAGCTTTAGTTCAGCAGCTAAGCACGATTTGATCAATGAACAAAAGTCGAAAGACACTGATCAATGAGAACCTAGAGAGATGCCAAACAGAATTGGCATCATTCAGTAGTTTTCAACAACAAAATTCACATCTAATGCTTCAGGAAGATTAGATCCCAATATGCTTGAGTTTGATCAGCAGCAGTTAAGGAGAAGCGATCAGCTGGAAGTTGACGAAGTCGTGGTCACAATCTAACCAGCTTGAATCGGATTTGGGCGATGTTGGACTCGAACAGGGGGGAGAATGGAGATTGCGCATTGTGGGAAACTCAAAGTCCCAACTTTCCTCTTCTTCCATGAGCTCGTAGTGCAGCTTAGGACTGTCAGGCTGAAACATAAGGAAAAAATGGACCAAACTGGTTAACATGGTTAGATGAAGGTTTGCTTCAATTGAGTAGCTATGGAGATTCCTCCAACTGACCTCTACTTGAGCTCGCCGGTTCTCGAAGTGCTCAGAACAATCTGGGGGAAAAGAAAAAAAACAAAGGGTGTTCAATGAAAACTTAACATGGTAGATAACCAACAAACAGTTATCAATAGATTTACCTTTGTCTAAACCAAGGATCTTCAAGAACTCATCCAAATCCATCTGTCTATTCTGAGCCTTGATGCATTCATCATGATTGTGCAGAAACCCTTCCTCAGAGAACGCACATGGATGCATTGGGTCTTCCTCCTGCACAACACTCAGTCTCTTGCTGTTCTTCGCCGGCTTCTTCTGCGATATATCACTTCCCGATGGCACATTGGACGAGTTTGAGATATCAGAAAGGACCTTCCTATTCCCAGAAGCTTTAACACTCGTTTTACCACTTGCAGCATTGGCTCCTCCACCGAAAGCAGAACTCTTCTTTTCCCCATTCAATCCTGCAATTCCTGAACCAGTATGCTGCTGTTTCTTGGATGTTTTGTTCAGAGAAGAAGAGTTCTTCAATGCGTTTGACAAATCACCCAGCGGTGTCCTCCCACCTAACCCTCCTCCTTTCTTGGATGGCTTGGAGACATCTGTATTCAGCCAATCTGCAAGTAAAATTGGATGAGTGGAAAATCTAGCCAGTTGCCAATAAGTAGACACACATGGTGCAGTATGATGAAAATTACGAAATTAAGTCAATTACCTTTGTAGTCAACATTGCGAACCTGAGCAACACCACCTCCAACTCTTGATGCCATTTTCGTAAGATTCTGAAGGGTTGTTTAATTTTCCTGCAAACACAGTGAAGGAACGCCGTTAATTGTACTTCCAAGGGATATAGGGATCAAAACACTCTAAAAGGATTCGAAGTGGGCACGATCTATGTTAAAACCCTAAAATCAGAAGAACCCAGAACTTGAACCTTGAATCTATAGAATCAGAAGAACCCAGAACTCGAATCCCCATAATCAGGAGAACCCAAAACCAGAACCATAAAATCAGAAAAGCCCAACACTAGAATCCCTAAAACCAGAAGAACCCAAAACTTGAATCCCTAAAATCAGCAAGAAATACAGGGGGTTTCTCACAAGAAAGAGACTTGCAGAGATTGATCACCCTTTTCTGAAACTTGCTTCGAAACTCTGAGAACTGGGGTTAATTTTTAATTATCCGATAGATTCATCTAATCAATCGATTCTCTAAGTGGGTTCCAAGGCGGAAAGAAACTTTGCTACTATAACTCCCTGAACTTAGAGACCCCAGAACTCGAATCCCTAAAAGCAGCGACAGCAACGAACAGAAATCTCAAAGAGGAAGAAGAAAACTTACGGATACAAGTGCGATTGATCTTTCTGGAACTGCTTGAGACTCTGAGAACTCTGGTTGCTTTCTTGAGAGAAATGAGAAATCGGGGGGAAGACTATTGGAGAACTGAAAAAATGACCTTTGTTCTTCTTCCAACGGCTCCTTTCTTGAATATATACGCCGAGACTGGGGGAAGTGGGAAAAGGCGGTATGTCTAACGGCAAATTTTCTAACCTTTGGGCCGGACGGCCCAATATATGCATTTTGGCGACCTGGGGTTTCGTATTTAATTGCAGGCTTGCTACAGCACCATTAAGAGCTAAAGGTGATTTCTAGAACAAGACAAACGGCCCGACGGTTACTGAGCAGATCATCCTCCATAACTTGGGCCAGGCCCAGATGAAATATTAAACTGCTTCTTGCTGTTCTTCTTTATACACGCAACAACGGTTCGATCCGGTCCGGACCGAACCAAACTTATGAGAACCGTGATCCATTAGTAAAAGACATCTTAAAAGCAATGACCGGACCATCATTTCATTTGGTCAATTTGGTCTAGTTCGATTGATAATTTCTTCCGTAATTGTAAAATTCACGAGGAGCAAAGACCGAATCACATTATACTCGGTCTGATATGATCCAATCTAAACCTTGGTTTCGTCTGGTGTGATCCGGTACGAACTAGACCATTTCTGATTTCACACCCTTACTCGGAACAATGAAATTGTTCACGTGGTACCACTTGTGAAAGTAGCTTTTGTCTTTGGTTATTGGTACATCAATCAATTAGTTGACTATGTTGTGGCACAATAAATTACCATGACATCTTACTGATGTGTTATTTTTCCCTAACGTGATCGATATAAAATATGAGGTACAAAATTATTTGTGAATAATAATTCGATAACTAAAAATCCAAAATTAGCTTATATCAAGCTCAAACACTGTTGGAAAGGTATAATTTGATTAATTTGAGCAATATATATTTATTACATCAAGTTGTGTGAGAATGGTGCCAACTTTCAAACGATATGTCCCATTGAAAGAATGAGATTGATTGGAGTGAAAACCTAAAGCTATTAATGGCCGAAATGGGCCATAGCCTGGCCCAAACTTTTTTCCCAGCTGGATGAATACTGCTAGCTAAAGCATATTAAACGCTACTCTATTCGAATCGAGTTAACATAGAAAGTAGAAACTCGTATTAAAAGCTAAACGATACGAATTAGGATTATATTTAGAGATTGACAAAAAGGGCTCAAATATTTGGATATTGTAAAATTGATTTTAGGGTTAATATTTTCGTATTGCTTGAACTTTGACCAAAATAAACATCTTGGCCAATCTTTTCGATCTATAACATCCTGGCCTGAACTATACACTAAAATAAACAATTTGGCCAAACCCGATGTTTGACCGTTAACTTGGACGGTCAACGCGCCACGTCACTGCCAAGTCAGAAGATCTGATAAATATTTATTTTTTTTGTTTTTTATTTTTGGTTTAACTAAGGTATTAGATGATTTTTTTAATTTATAATAATTTAAAATTAGGGAATGTGTTGAAATTGTGAATTATTTTAAATACTTTATGTTGACTTGGCAATGACATGGCGCGTTGACTAACGGTCAACGCGTTTGACCGTCCAAGTTAACGGTCAAAAGTCGGATCTGGCCAAATTGTTTATTTTGGTGTATAGTTCGGGTCAGGATGTTATAGATCGAAAAGATTGGCCAGAATGTTTATTTTGGTCAAAGTTCAGGGCATACAAAAATATTAACTCTTGATTTTAATTAGTATAAATTATGTTTGCGTAACTTTGCTTTTGGGAATTACTCATACTCAATTTTTATTTTGAGTCTAAATTGGTAACATAGTATTGGCCTATTACGTGTCCAATATTAAAATGGATACCTGATTATAAGGAATTTTGTCTAAGTTTTTGTTGCGAAACAAATAGAAAGGTGAAAACACCAGTACTATCGATGTAATTGAGTTGAATGTAATTAATGAGATGATTGATATTGTTTTTTTTATGTGTACAATTTTCTTAATCCAAGTAGACTCATTTGGGTAGGAGCCCAACGAATTGACCAAATCAGATCCATTTAAACCCCAACCAAAACAACCCATACCCAAAACCATTAAAAATGCATATGAGTTCATTTAGGTTCGATTCAATATCATATGGGTCATGACAATTGGGTTAAATTGTCCAACGAGTTCACCCATTATCATTCCTAGTTAGATCAAAACAATTTTTTATTCGATTTGGATAACTTTTTAAATTGGGTTAAAATGTTATGACTAACGAGTCCACCCATTATCATTCGACGTTAGTCATAACATTTTTTCATGCATTTCACCTGCAAATTACACATATGGTTGAAATTCATGTAACCTGCATTCAGAGGCGGATCCAAGTGGTTCAATGGATTGTCAATTCATAAACCTTGAATCAAAATTTTGGACAATAAATTTGTACAAAATTTTATTTTAGTGGTGGTAGTATTTGAAGAGGAAGGGAAAACAAATTTTCACCCAGTAGCTTGGAATCAGATGACGCTACCCAGGAACCAAGGGGGTTGGCATTCGGCCTACCCGGTTGGCTAACCAGGCAATGCAGGCAAAGATCCCCCGGGGACTTTGAGGACTATTCTCAGGGAAGACGTTATAGGAGTTAGTTTACCTCGTATAATGATTATATAAGAGTGCCAAGAGCCTATGTTTTCTCTCTTGCAAAGTTCTGATATCCTGTTTCGGTTGGTTCCCAACCTCCATTCAATCAAAAAAAATTGAATGTGGGACTACGTAGAGATTTTGGTTTATCGTTGACTACTCTTTATAAAAATTTTGAGTCCGCCACTCACTACATTACTTCACATCCCAAATAGCATGACCAAATTGTTGTACACCACTAATTGGAGGTGATAATTTTGTATAAATCCACCAAAACAATCCAATCCATCCACTAAAATGTATATTTAATCCAATCCACTGGGATTGGTTGATTCATGGATATTTGATAAATTATAGTTTCGTACCTATATTTTTATATTTTACATTTTGATAACTAAAATCTAATTTAATGTAAAATGTCATTGAAAATTAGGTTTTGGTACCTTGATTCTTTATTATAATGTTTTAGTTCCTTAAAATTTTAAAGCTTACATATTAATCCAATGTTTGAATACCACTTGGATCCCCAATGCAGTCCATCAATTCATTTGATCTAACCCATCAATTCGCTAACTCATTTGATCAATGGAAACACCAATCTATAATCCAATCCATTTATCCATCTCCATAAATAACTACACCAATCCATAAATTCAACTCTCAAACTACATGAAAACTAACCTGCAAAAGGATGGAAAAGAAAGCTCCGAGCGATAAAAACACGTTGAGAAATCCGGTGGATACATTTATGTGCCAAAGCTTTGACTTTGATGCGCTACGTTATGCCCTGTTATTAGCCAGCCAGCACAGTTGGTTTGGTCCTTTGTATCTATCATCGTAAACGAATCAAACAGCGGCCCTGTTTTTCTTCTTTCTTTTGTGGGGCGACAGATTCGTGGGCGTGGCAGCACTCTGTCCATGAGAGCTTCGATCCATCCATAGAAAATCCAACGTACGACACTTGCCGGGGTTCTCAACACTGTTGCGTCGAAGGCTGAGAGTTAACAATTGGGTGAAGAAGAAGCTGTTTTGGTAAGTTTTAACCTTGGGTCATTCCAGAGAAGAAATACAGTAGTGTTAAGAAATTGATGTGCAATGCATCCAATGTCAAACATCCATCGGCCGGGTCCCGTTCACACACAAACATGGGAGAGAAACCAATATTGGAATCCAATGTTTGGTAGAACAATCCATGTCAAAAGATAAACCCAAAAAGCGAGCGAGAGAGACTCTTTGATCGAACCCAACAGAAAGAAACTGTTACAGGAAGAAAAAAACAAAGTGTAATCAGAACGCTCTCGGCTTCCATAACCATCGGCACCACACAAGCAAGGCTTCAGCTCGCTCGTAAAACATACAATACCATTGAGCTTATAACGCCATAACCTACCACATGGGGATCGTTCGGAGACGACCCATCACACCGAATTACAGGACAAGCGATTACTCGGTGGTGGACAGAGCTGAAATCGGGATGCTCGCGGAGCTGAACAAGCGCGAGGAAGTTGGAGACAGGTTGGATTTGGCACATGGAGAGCCAAGGAAAATCCATTCATTGTCTCCAAAGAACCACGAAACAGCCGACTACGTACGAGAGTCGACAACGACATCGATACCCACCACAACAGTCGATCGAAAAGAAGGAAGATGTGCACACCAACAGTGAGCATGAGCATTAAGGGAAAATACTGATCGAGTCATCGACATAGATTAACTTCATTGTGTATACTACGAGTAGCAAGAACCATATCAACAATGTAATAAGAAGTTATCGTTACACATTAGAACACAGTTGTTACTGCTAGATACTTTGACTTCACAAAATGATGGGAAACCAACCATATGTTACACTTTATGCAATTGCCTTTGACCTCTAGTGAACTAGTGGTCACTTAATCTCTCTTTTTACTCCAAGTTGATTAATAAAGAGATCAATAATGGCAACAACTTACCTCTGGACCAACATGCACAATGGGGGACCCGACCCGACCCTATACCCACTCTCCCAAAGTCGAACCCTAGAAGAAGAAGAAGAAGAAGAAGAAGAAGAGTTGTAAGTAGGCATTAGGTGGAGACCGGTGGCCAATGAAGTTGCATTTAGTTCAACTTAAACCATTCATCACTTATATTCAGTAATTTCAGTCTGGAAGAAGAAGAAAAAATTGCCTTATTTGATCTCACTAATAGATGTGAGCATATGGTATGGAATCTTGAAACTCATCATCGATTCGGGTATTTTTCATTCATCGAGAAGGTTCGAGTTCGAATTGTTACAATTACAGTGTTATCAATTCATTTAAAAGTATAATATGATCCAGCTGCCCGACAGAATGCATTTGTTTCAATCTCAGGTTGTGGTATTGGTTTGATCTGCATTGTTCTGAACAATTTTTATTTCTGAAGAAATAATATAAAGGAACAATAGTAAAACACAAGGTTTATGTGGTTTGATCTTATGGCATTGTATGTCTCTTAAATATGCATGCACAAACAAAACTGTACCATGTTCATCTAGCCAAAAGATCTTCAATACCAAACAATGCCCTTCTCTTCTTGCATTATTTATTCTTTTTTTGCTTGTTTATCTTTTCATTGATGTCGTTGTGACAACCGAATGGAATATCCAAATAAATAAAATGAACTATTTAAGAGTATCTTATTTTTATAGGTTATTTGAGAGTATCTCTCATCCAATTGCTAATGAAAAAGAAAGAAAATGACCTACTTAAATTCATTGGAAATCCTACTCAACTTCTAAAGTTTACCCTTCTCATTGAAAGCAATCCGGTTTATAGTGCTGATATAATGCAGTTAGGTGCCTCGCACCCATATCCTCGCCCACACACGAGGCAACAATAGCAACAATGCTAATCAGCAGATCCCGCAACTGTCATCAATACTAGTCCCAACACTTGGATCGATCGATGGAACTTTTGATCCCCACGAGCACGTACTTCGTACATCCATCCATCCATCCAAGAATCGGTACTACGTTTAAACCTTCTCATATACAATAACAACCTAGAAAACAATTCATCACAATCAATCATATCAACACCTCCGAGCTTAAAATATAAATGACTCATTGACAATCTTTCAATTGCCATAATAAATCTACCAATTGAAAGATTGAGCCTTACTTACAACTTACCAGGCCACCAGCCCACCACCATAAACTTTGTTGAAATAAATAAATGTGTATATAAATTATATACCTTTCATGGTACTTCACCATCAAAGTACCATATAGCTCTGTGGATCCCATCTCTCCCCAAACAATAGAAAATCCCAACACCATACTCTCCCCCACAATTTGGAAAAAATAATTTCTTCACAAAGTGGATCCCTCTCTCTCTCTCACAAAGCCTATTTCATTCCCCCAATTGGAGAAGGAAAAATACTCAAGCCAACCATACTATCTCTTTAACCATACCCAATTGCCCACCAACCTTACACCAAACCCTAACCCATTATTTTCCTCCCCTTTTTCCCCCAACTCTCTCTCTCTCTCTTTCTCTTTGTTTCATTCACACATACACATACTTCCAATCCACTCCCAAACAAAACACAAAATTCTCCAACCCTAAACCAAACTCAATTATCAAAACAAACAAACGCCACTAAACAAACCCAATATCTCTGCCACATAGATTTGGGAAATTATCGCCCTCTCAAACACTTAGTAATCTGCACTGCAAATAGGACATCACAATAAATTTTAAGCCTTTTGATAGTATAAACACTGGAAAGAGACACAAACCGCGATACAAAAGGGAACGTAAAACAAAATGGATGTCCCTATGATCGAATTACTTGTGGACGTTGTGATGCGCTCCCCCATTTAGTTTCCAATAGTTGAAGCTAGATTGAATTGAGGAATTGTATCAAGTTTCCAATTGGCACAAAACCATAGTCTTTTCCTCCAATGAAGACAACACTTTTATTGCTCCCCTCCTTTCCCCTCTTTGCATTTTCCACATTGGTAGGAAACTTCGAGAAATTACCGCTAGTATGACAATTAGTAGTAGTACTAGTAACAATACGAGGGGTGGTGGTGAAAATGAGCAAAAAACCAACAAAAAGAAGAAAAAAGGGCGAGTGAGTGAAGTTAACGCCAAGCGGAAGCGACGGTGAGAGATTTCCCCATCCAACCGAAACAAGCCCCGCCGTTATCTTCCTTGACGGTGAACCCCGGGTTGGCCCGGTTCGTCGAGTTCAGTCTCGCCCGCATCGACTCGGTCACGGCCCGACTCAGCGGCTTCGCCCGAAAACCGGCCATCCCCATCCGGGCCCGCCACTTCCCGAAAACCTCGCACCGCTCGACCCGGTCCCTTCCCTCGCAGGCCACCGCGTTCGCCAGCTTCCTCCCCACGCCTTCCTCCACGCGCCCACGCTCCGCCTCCCCCTGCACCACCGTCGCCTCGATCGACTCCAGCACGGCGCCGTAGTACCCGCTCGCCTCGTTCACGCGCGCCAGGAACGGCGCCGTGTTCCCGCTCATCTCCTGCTCCACCACCGTCACCACCCGCGGCTCCATCGCCCTCACGCGCCGCAGCAGCTCGTCCCGCGGGTTCTCCGTCGTCACGCTCTCGTCCGGCATCCTGTACAGCTTGAACGCGAAGTTCACCGCCAGGGGTTCCTCCGCCTCGCAGCCCAGCGACTCCCGGTTCAGATCGCCGAGTTTACAACAGCTCGCCGCCGCGACGTTGAAGTGGAGCGCGATCCCGAGCCCCTCCGCCAGCTGGCGGAGGGATTTCCCGACTGAATTCAGCCTCTCCCTTTCTTCCTCTCCTCCGCTGCCGTCAGGCACCGCCGTGATCTTCACCACCGCGGGGCTCCCGTTCAGACGCTCGGCCAGCGCGTAGAGGAGGTTCATGTACTGCCCGCCCTGCCCGATGTCGAAATCCACGACGTGGAAACCGTTGTTACTCTTCTTCTTCTTCATCTTCGTAGTATTCCCCTGTTCTTGTTCTTCTTCTACCTCCTCCTCCAGAGTGGATTCGAGAATCGCGAGATTCGCGGCCATGAACCCGAGCTTGAAACACGGGGAGAGCTCGTACAGCAGCTGAGTCGACGCGGCGTGCTCTTTGCCGTACAGCTCCGCCACAGGCGGCGGATTCTCCGCCGGATTCACTCTCGATTTCAGCGCCGAGTATAAATAATCCATCAGCCTCTGCTCCGAATTCCCCTTTCCTCCGCTAGAAACCACACGAGACAGGATCTCCGCCGCGGAGTCGGTCTTCCCTTCGTAAATCGCCGCCGCTGCCTCCATTAAAACCGGCCTCGTGCAAATCGCGGCGGAGGTCGTCGTGGAAGAAGTAGTGGAAGACGACGAGGACGGGCTGGGCGAAGGAGAAATCTGATTGTTGTTGTTGTTGTTGGCGGTGGTGGGGCTGGAGGAAGAGGAAGGAGAGATGAGATTCTGAATCGTCTCCGACCACTCGCTGTTGGTGTTGGTGATAACGGAAACAGCGTCCCCGCCGGATCCTTCCTCGTCTTCGTTGTCGTCATCGTCCAGAAGTTGCTTCTCCAACTCCTGAAGCCGATTCATCATCTTCTTCTCCGACTCCTCTGCCGGCGGGGCAGCAGCAGATGTAAAACCAATTCCCCTGTTATTCTGACTCATCTGAACAGGCTGAGTCGACTGGACCGAGTTCGCAAACGGAACTCCCTGCAGAGTTTGAAATTGGGGATTATTGCTGTGGCTCCCTGTATTTATAGGCTGAGGCCTCAATTGCTGAAGCAGCGGGAACCCATAGCGTTGTTGCTGCTGCTGATGAAGTTGAGAGACCGCCGGCAATTCAGGCGAGAAGTTGTTGGCGGAGAATTCTATGGGTGAATGAGTCGAAATCGGAGAAGTAGTTGTGGTGGTGGTATTACTGTTCTGGTAAATCCTCGGCTTGACGGAGCGAGCCAGGAGGGCGTTGAAAGGATTCAGGCCACCACTACTCTGGCTTTGCTGCTGTTGGTAAAGATGGTGCTGAGAAGAAGTCTGGTAATCGGACAGGGTTCTCTTCCCGAAGTAACTCGCCACCGGCGATTGGTGGAACCGCTGCTGCTGCTGGGCGATCTGGGAAGAAGAGTCGAGGAACATTTGGGAGAGCTGGGTTCGGTAAGGGTTGTTTGTCTGCGAGTTGGGATTCATCGATCTGCCGGACAAGAAATCTGAACCGCCGCCGATTCCTCCTCCGCCGGGGAACCCAGAAGCCATTTTTTATCCTCTTTTTTTCTCTCTGTTTCCGGAGGGGATTGGGGGAAGGCTACAAGAAGAGTTGGTGATTGAGGAAACGCATGAGATGAGGGAAGATAATAACAGTAAATGAAGGAAATTGAATGAAAGGAGAGAGAGAGAGAGAGAGAGAGAGAGAGACAGAGACAGAGAGGAGAAGGAAAGGCGGAAACAGAGAGCGTTTTTCTTTCTCTAATGGCGTTGAAATGATTCCGATGAATAAGGGGAAAGAAAACTTCCGTAGGAGGGAGAGAGAGGAGAGAGAAGGGGGGCTTTTTATAAATTAAATTCCCAACTAGCCTTTATGTTTTTATTTATTATTTTATTGTTCTGAAAAATTGTGATATTTGGTGATGGACTTTTTCGTACGTATATTTGTTTTTTTACATTTTTTAATTTCTCAGAATAAACAGATAAGTAACCTTTTGAGGTATTTATGAAATACGGTGGAGTTGGACGTACCTTTGCGCTAAAAATAGTAGAATAATGAGAATATTTTTTTAGTTGTACCAACTTGAAAACAACAAAATATAATACCTAAGTTCTAAAATTTTAGTATTTCAGCTAAATTATGTGAATAGTCCACTCGATATATTTAGTTTGGATCATTGGTGGTCAACTATTTAAAAAGATCCAACTATCGACTTAACTCGATCATAAATTGGATCAGTCCGCGAAAGTCATTTGCGTATTTCTCTTGCATAATTTAAAAATCATTTTCTTTGCATAACTATGTCATTTTCTACATATACTTTCTCGTTACAGTTTTTTCTGAACAGGCTGTCGTAAAACTGAATCGATTGTTGGAGTGAATGTTAGGAATAGAACATTGTTTCTTTCAAAATCTTGCAGCATATCCATTGAGTAATTGTTCTCGGTCCAAATTAACATGGTAGAAGCATTTTGCATAATTAACATTTCATTATTTTTATGGTTTAAGTTAAATGAGTTTCATTTTGGTAGTGGATCATCGTAGAAAACAATTTTATTTTTCATGGGGAAAAGAGAAAAGAAGCGAGTGGGATTGACGTAAGAGTTTTAACCGTCAGATTTATCGGGTTGATTGACTCCTTCCTTCCTGCGCAATAGATCGGCGAGTTTCTATTCCCTCAAGCATACAAAACGATGTCGTATGGCTCTCGTTCACGGTTCCCGCAATTAATATCTCCCACGCTTTCCCCATGGCGCGTAGGCTATCAAAGCCAACCGGGGGAAAAAAAAGATACGGGAAGAACGGGCCCACGAGGGCGCAGGAGCGTGGATGCACGCGTGAAGTTAGGGCTTGATTTTTTTTTTTAAACAGAAAAATTAACGAAGGGGAAGGAAGTGTTCACCTGACAGGACAGTTACGAGAAACACTTCTGAAAAAGCTAGCGACAATAACCCCAATCCATAAGGGCAAAGCGAAAGCGACCCATCTGACACGTGTAGCAACGAGGGGCGAGCTTTCAGCTAACTACAGGTAACAGCGCCGTTAGATTCGAATTGCTTTTTGCTTCCCGGCCCAGGCCCACTCCAGCTGGCTCGCTCTTTTGATTCGAAATTCTCCCCGCACCCGGGCTTTGGCCCGGCTCCGCCGGTTCCCGGTGGGATTCAGGTGGGCTCTGTGTACACGTGTCGGTGGCGATCATGGCTGGCCGGCTGGCTGAGAATTTAATAGCGGAGGAAATTTTTGCCCTATTGTATTAGAAAGAAAGTTGTGGACGTTGGCCTATCCACGATCATTTAAATATTAGTCTCCTCACACCAACACACATATACAAACCGTTAAGTTGGATGGGTTACTCTTATGAGTTATTTGGTATCGAATAATTCGTTTGTGTACAAAAAGTTGTGTTGGGTTATTATCGCTAGCTTTTTCAGAAGGGTTTCAAATATCAAAGGTTATTTGACGAATATAAGAGGGTGAAGATTGATATTCTCCAAATAAAATGTAATTGTATCTTTTTTATTTTTCAATTGCCCACGTTCATTTTTTAAAATCTCAAACTACCCTCTCCTTTTAAATCCCATTTTTTTATACATTTCTCCAATTATCCCCATAAATATTATTTGGTTTCCACTATTATGTTTAATACTAACAAAGACTCAATATGTCTTAACACACTACTCTATTAAAAAAAATGTATAAAACTTCGTACATATTAATACCTTTTTAATTTTAAATATTTTATAACTGACGTGAATCTTTTGAACGAATTATTGTATTAAAACGACGTATAAAACTCAGAAATGTGAATGTAGTCGTATATCTTCTCATAATACTGAGCAATGTGTAATTTACACTATCCTGATCAAAATAGTAAAATCAATCATCCCCAGGTTTTGATGGTATGTAGCACATATTGTGTAGTGAGTTGTGACCATAAATTATGCAAATACATTTGTTGTTTAATTACTCGTTTATCGACAGTCTATCCATTTTAATAATTAAAAATGTCGTCTACGATAAGTATCGATTGAACTGCGATTGTACTCCTAAATCACCCTAAAAAATAATTGAGTTGAGGATCATAATAGACGGAAGTTTGCCTTAGATTCTACAAAAATATCCTTGGCGCAGAAAAAAGGAAGACAAAATAGGGGCCATGTTGTGCGAATTTGTGCATGCTTTCCCAATCTGCATTTCAGCCATTGGTGGAGAAAGAGAGAAACTTTTATTCAGTAGAAAAAGAAAGAGAATTTTGAAATTTGCCACAAATACCCGGAAATTGTTTGGTGGGTCACTAATCACTATCAATTTTGTTGAAAACAAACGGTTTAGGTTATGATTCAAATAATACAAAATCTATAAATACATGTGCATTATTATCTTGATAAATTGTATCAATGTGGTATGATTTGTATCAGCGATAGTAAGATACAATAAAATTGCGTACTCTATTCTTTTCTATAAATGAACACTATTTTATTCTTGCAAAATTTGTAGGAATAAAAGAAGAATCCAAGAAAACCAATGGCTCCTCCTTTCACCATTTAAAAAAATGAAAATACCTATGAATTATTATTATTATGATTAATTACAAGACGAGAGTGAGCCAGCTGCTCATAAACAGCTTTGTGAAATGGGTATTTATGGAACAATTAGGAGTATTAGATCATAGCCGTTGGACTGATAATTAACACAATATTTCATTATTTCTAGCTCAAAAGAGTATGAATTAATTATGGAACCAGAGCGATAAAATCAATTAAACTCCTTAATTAACACTGAAATTCTAGCTGTACACATTAGATACTTGCTTGTTGCACAAATTTAGCTGATTAATTAACTAATAAATTATGTCATGTTCCTTAGCCATTTCCTGTATGAACAGCATATTGTCTTCATACTCAAGAGTTCCAAATGATTCAATTACAATAGGAAACAAAATGGATGTCAAAAGTCAAAGTAAGGAAGGAATCCTTTTTCGGGATTGTCTGAATGATATTGGATACAAAAATGGATTAGTTTTAGATATCAATATTTTTTTTTTTGGTCAAGATATAGACCTCTTTTTGTCTCTTAAAACTTAGAGAAAATGGTTAAACTAGAGTCAAACAGTTTCATCCTTGATTTAACAACCCTTAGTCTATAACAACCCATCAACTTACAATTTTGGAGCCATCCTATATTATGAATGCATTCAAACATTCATTTACCTTACGGGGCATAATCAACGATTGCTCGCAACTCTGAGTTGTTTGGTTATCATTTCGCTGCATCTAACATATATATACACTACACAATGTCTTACTCATAAGATGGAGTCTTAATCCATCCAAATTTTCTTTCTACTCCACTTTCACATAAGAAACACATACACAAAGCTACATATCATTCCACCACATTTATCATGAACTATTCATTGGTTTCTTAGATGTGACAAGTCACAAACCCTCTCTCAATTTGACCAACATTTTTATAGTCCATTGGAATTGAGGTGCTCTGAAAAACAAATAACTATTATTATCACTAGTTGATAGCTAGGCATTTGAAAGAATATTAGCGGAGATTCACAAAATACCTAGCTATAAAGGTACACATGTTTTTCATCCACCAGAAAGAAAATGTTTTAGACTCTACAACAACAACAACCATCGTCATGGGCTCTGCTTGTGCAACATATTGGATTATTTCTCAGCTGTAATTGAGAAGTTGTGATCTTTCAAGTGTTTAGAGAGAGTAATTCTGCTGATGATTTCTTGACATGTACGAATCATGATGCCCATTTTGACACTCATTTGTTTGAGCTGTGCGACCCAAACCTTAGACATTGGCTCTTGTTTGATATTATGGTTACTCTAACATCGGTCTTCTACCAGAAAAAAACGAAAGAGTGTTTCAATAGAAGCTAAAAGAGGACAGTGGAAACATTATTAGGGCACCAACAAAAACCCTTCTCCACTGCACTTTTTACCCCCGACCACTCTCAGGAAAATGTAAAATGCCTTTAATGGCGGCAAAAAGTACCACTCACTGTGCATTAACCAGTGACTGGCCTGGGGCAGTGGTAGAACCGTAGAAGTAGAAGAACACAGTTTAATGGAACGAATGTGCCCATCTGAATTTTCCACATAAAAATTTTCCCACTATTTTTCTAAATTTTAATCTTTGTCGTCGGCTCGTTGCATTCTTCAGGGCTCGATTTTTGTTACAGTGGTTGTCGTCCTCAGGTTTTCATTGATTAATGAATGAATATTAATCGAAGGGTTGAAAAACCATATGAGACTTGAGAGTACCGGAAAAGTTAGTGTTAGAGCATTTTATGTCAAAATCGTGTTTTAATTGTGGATGTTAAATATTGTCTATTGATTTTGCTTCTGGTAGGAGATTTTTCTGGTTGAACCACCAATATAATACGGTTTTTCAATGTTTGATATTAACAAGAAAGAAAAAGTGGTAGTGGGTGACAGGAGAAAGCAGAAAAGGAAGAAGAATCGTTTTTCTCCTGGGCACGGGGTTGCTTCCTATCTAATCGAATGAGACGTACAGAGAAAATTTATGGACTAATTAATATCTAGAATGTGCAGCTGAAGAATCCAATCCTTTATCACCATAAACATTATATAAAAGAAAGAAAAAACGGATGATGGATCATGGATGGGCTTAGGATACAAAGTTTTTTGTTACGTAGATGTGCCGTATGGGCGGAATTCTACGTACTGGATCTTTACTTCTCCGGACTTTTGGATACGTTGCTCGACGCTCTCGAGTAGAGGACCTCTTTAATGGCGAGAACAACCCCAAAATAACTACGAAACTACTAAACTGAACGAAAGAAATAATCAAAGCAAACAAACATAAATTAGGTTCCAATCTTCTCATCATTAACCGAACGAAACAAGTACATATTTATAGGCACAAAGCCTCTACCTTTACCTATCTAGATTATGACCCCTAAACCTCTAAGGATATTACCAACAAATAACCAAATCCTATACGAACAAGGAAAACAATAATAAAGACAATAATAATAAAAGCCCAATAATGTACTAATACTAAAGATACGCAAGCCCAGTCTCCTACGAAATGCTACGATGGCCCGATCTCGTAACATTTTTTAGGTTATGATTCGAAGATTTGGCTCAAATACACTTGCAACATATTTTCCTGAAAAGAAGAAAAGAATTGTGGAGAAATGGAAAATTTTGATATTTGAATTTAATTGGCCCCTTATTTTCATTTTTATTAATTTCAGAGATACATATTCCTTTGAAAACATTCGATAAAATTAGAGCAACATAGACACGGTGATAGTATTCAAAGTATAGTATAGTCTAGTCGGGGTGTAGATTATGTTTTGGGCTTTGACGGATTAGAATCAATGCTTAGGTACATGGTATAGACGTATAGTATATTAGTGTTACATTCGAAATTAGGGTTTGAGGTTTAGTTATTTAAATCTAGGGTATAGTATAATATTCAAAATTCTAGTTGATTTGATGCTATAAATAGCGTTGCCTTGCTAAAAAAATATGAGGCACTTCAAAAATCACTAAGATGCTATAAAAGTACACTTAAAAATAAAATGTGTGCTTCTTTCTTGTTTTCCTTTCTGAAAATAAATCAAAATATCAAATTGAAATGTTAAGGGAGAACATTTTTGTTTATGAACAATTGTTTGTTCTTCAATGCATGTATATGTGTATTGCAGCACCTAAAGATCGTACTAGTACGAATATAAATTTAAAATTGGATGAAACAAAAAACTTCATTGAAATGACTCGAACATATCATATACACTACACGTGAATCATATATGTACTACGAAAGTGTTTGTGAGTTTATCGACAACAACGTTTGATTGGGGGCATATTCACCTTTATTTCTGTTTTCTGTTTCTTGTCCTTTTCATAAATCTGGCAACGAAAACGAGAAAACAAGTTTACTTTTCATTATGTTTTCTATTCATTTCTAACTCTCGAAACAAAAGATGGTAGCTTCCTTTTCTTTTCGAAAACAACAATAAGTTGTTTCCGCCAGTTCCCAACTTTGTTTTCTTATATTTTAAATGAAAAAACTTCTTTATTCTTATCGATTAGGTGAAATATTTGAATGACGTTTGAAAATGAATTACTATATTTGGAATGTTATACAAATCTGTACAAATTAATTGAATTGAACTCTTAAGTCACGTTTGTAACACATTTATAATTGAAAACTTTCCAAAATTACCCTTAATTTATTAACTAAATTACCAAGAACATGACGTGTATTCAAAATTAATCATTGAAAGCGTGTACCTGCTATATGAAATGGAGTTCGAAAAGTAAAAATGCTACCACTACTCGGGGTATTCAAAATTTATCATTGAAAATAAATTCATTTGTATTTCGAACATAAATCATTTAATTTCAAAACAAATACTGAACACTAATGAAATTTATTTATATTTAATAATATGTTTGATTTGATTTTAAAAAAAAAGTCACTAAACAACTTATATTCATATATGGTTTCTTCTCTACTACAATAAAATTTTCTTCTTATTTTTGTATTTAATACTTTTTCTTTGTGTTTTATTAGTTAATCATTCAAAATTTTCTTACTTTGATTTCAAACAATCTACCATCATTTAGGTTTCTCTTTCATAATTAAGCAAATTTTTTTATTTAAACAGATTTCATTTTTAGGTTTTGTTTGTTCATTGAAAAATGACAACTTTGTTTCCATCAAGTTCTATTTTCTGTTGCTACAATGTCAGAAAATGAAAATAAACATCCTTAAATTCCCTTGTTTATCAAGAATGAAAATGGCCAGCTGGCATTCATGCGTCTGCTTTCCCGGCAGTTTGCCGTCGCGGAGCCTTCCAATTACGATGATTTGGAGTTTTGCCGGGGATTGACTTCCTTTTGACCATTTGAACTATTCTTCATCAAAACAAAAGTTAAGAGAGACTTAAGAGGTGGACCAAATGGGTAAAAGCAACCAAGTAATAATCTCCATTTCAATGAGGTATAAAAAAAAAAAAAAAGACTAGTACACTTATATTGAACGCACTTTCTTGGATTTTGATTAACTCTTAAGAAAAACATAGAGAGACTATTATAAAAGAAGGAAAAAGTGAAAAGAGGCGTATACTCACTGCAATAAGAGTTTATCAACTTATATAGTCGATGGTCCAAGCAGGTTATGACAGTTTGAGATAACTGAAGTTTGCATATTTCAATAAGAAACTCGAAATTCACTGATTCGTGACCGGGGCAATTCGGGGAGGGAAGAAAAAAGAGAAGCGTAGGAGAGTCGAGTTCTTAACCTAACGTATCAACCTCAACCGATCGAGATAGGTTGACTAACTACTTTAAATCCAACCCGATTTTAGTTCTAATAATAACGATTCGATTTCTTGATAATCTGCAATGAATCTCCTTATCAAACACATTTGATTAAAGCATTAGACGTACATAATAGCTGTACCGAATTTAAATACACAATTCCATAAATATTCTATAGAAAAAATACTCTAAAGAAAATTAGATTTGATAGAAATTGCGAATGTAATTGCATGGTGGAGCCATACCCATATTACTAAGAGGTTGTTTCGATGGAGTATTTGAGTGAGTTATTTGGATTCAAATAACTCATATAATGTGTTTGACAATATTTTACTGAAATTTGTTATTTGGATAGTGATTTATTTACAAATAAGTGAATAACTAAAAAACAAGTTATTCGAAATAACTCGTACCCTGTGTTATTTCGAAATAACTTGTTTTACCATTTTGATCTTACTAAATATTACAGGCAAAATATCACATTTGCATGGTTCTACCAAATAAGATACTAAAATTCAATAATCACTGAAACATCACATAAATAATTAATAACCAATAAAATAATTATTGGTGAAACATCACATAAATAATTAATAACCAATAAAATAATTATTGGTTGCCGGCAAAGTTGCGGGTGGGACCCGACCGTGGGTTAAGTCCCGCGTGGAATTTAATATATTGAGGTAACCGGAGATAGCCGGTCCCTATTCACTAAACGCCGACTGTCAAGTGATATCGATATTTAATTATTTTATATTTCTTTTTCTTGTTTTGTACTTTGTGGAAACTGGAATGCAATTAGGCTACGCGCCTTTCCCCTTTCCACCTCGCTACACGCGCCGCCGTGAGGAATATAATATGATTGGCACACGCAACCCACACTCGCTCTCCCGCCCCCACACGCACCCACAGCATGTGTCCACATCTCATTCTATCCTTCCCAGTGGGTCCCATTTTCACCTCTCATTTTCCGTATGAATTAATATTTTTAATACGAATCTTCGAGTTTGCGGATTAACTTTTCCCTCCAACATCAAGCTGCACATTGCACACATATTAGATCATGTTGTCGTGATAAATTCCAAATCTGATATATATCAAACGAGAAACCTTTATTACTTATGGACCAATGGAATTTATTATTTACAATGTCCTTTTTCGTTTTTGAATTTAGAAAATAATATTTTACGTTGGTTCAACGTGTAAGGACTGTCGATATTGTGACATATATATTTTTTTTCTTCAAGCCATTAGTCTAAATGAATTTACATGTCGCGCGACTAGCCGACTAGAGTATCCGGTGAGCGAAATTACCTTACTTGAAAATGACGCTCATGATAGTCTAATATGATCATATTACTAATACTCTTGGTTATAGATATACCTCAAATGTCACTAAATTATCTGTTTTTTTTTTTTTGCTTGTGTGGATTAACGCTTGGGAAATTCTAATAAACTAAGGAAATTTATGTTGCGAAAAGGTGTATTAGTTTAGATTTCATTAACAATCACTTGTGTGGAAACTGGGAATTAGTTGGCTGGATGATGCTTTATTTTATATACAAAATAAAAAGCTATTGATTTGGGTCAGGGAGGCTGTATATGTGAAGTGTGAACAATGGGAAAGCCACGAGTTGAAGCAATGTTGCAATGAATTTCTTTGTAACTTAGTGACCCTCAACATTTGTATTCAGTCGCGGAGCTACGTTGAGTACAAGGGCTACAAACCTTCAAAGTTTCAAGTGTATGAATAGGTCCAATTTCAAATTTGATGGTCGGTGCAGTAATAGGGTCCGTTTCGAGTCTTTCGACAATTTCCTTCCTCCTCGTTGCTAACACTCAGCAATACTGGTAAGGGGAGCACAAAGAATGTCGTTGTGTGGGGGTGCAATTCTTCAAGCTGGGAGAAAACGAAGTCGTCTAGCTCTATCGAAGTATCAAAGGCTTTCGAGAAACGAAGTCATTCGACTGAGTTGGTGATATTATGAAGAACTCGCACGACCTATGTAAAATTTGCAACAAATTCTGAAAATAGACGGGTTGGTAAGACATTAGGTCGTCGATGGAGGAAGAGGAGGAGGGGTTGAGCGAGATTATTGAGCTGCCGAGTCTAAGCGATTTTGGGGGCGGGTGGATGTACCCTACGATGTGGTTGCCGGACGACGGTGGTTGCGGTGGTGGTGGGACGGCGGGTAGGTATGTTAGTGGTGGTGACGAGTTTAGTTCTAGGTTGGGTTGGGTGTATGATGTGCCAGGTTTAGTGACGTGGCGGGTTAGGTTTGACCATTTTCAGCCCAGAACGACACTGACTAGGCGCTCCCGTTTGCCACGTCAGCACATAACAGACTCCATTAACGGAGTTGGACGGAGACTAACGGAGAGTGACTAAACATGACCTGTTTTAGTAATTCGAGTGACCAAATTTGATATTTTTTTTTAGTGACTAAACATGATCACATGATTTAGTAATCCCAGTGACCAAATGTGGCATTACCCCAAAATAAAAGGCACTTAATTTGGGTCAGGGTGGCTATATGTATATGTGAAATGTGAACAATGGAAACCCACGAACCGAAGGAGTGTTGCTATGAATTTCTTTATAACTCGTTTGTTTTGCGGATTTGAAAAATGAAGATTTTTTTATAATTTGGATTTTGAAAATTCATGGATATATGAGGGTTCTGGGTGCATTATGGATTTGATAAACACTATTGTTTGTTTGATGGATTTCAGGATGGATTTTGTTAATTAAATTTGTATGTATGAAGTGTAACTTACCTTTATTGTCATCAATAAAAGAAAATATGAGGGGTAGGTTTGGTAAAAAAATGTGCTTCAAAGTCCATCATCAATTCCCTCCTAAAGGTGTGGGATTTTCAAGTTCGTGGGGCCCACGGATTTGGACCCTCTAAATACTTGAAGCAAACAATGGATTTTGGACAAATTCCATCATGGATCAAAATCCATCAAGCAAACATAGTGAGTGACCCTCAACATTTGTATTCAGCCGCGGAGCTACGTTGAGTACAAACAAGGGCTGTAAAGTATAAATCTTTAATTTTTCAAGTGTAGGAAGAGGTCCAATTTCAAATTCGATAGTCAGTGCAGTAATAGGCTTCGCTTCTACGATTGCCTTCCTCGTCGTTGCAAACACTAAACAAGACTGGTAATTAAGGGGCGCACAAAGAATGTCGTTGAGTAGGGGGTGCAATTCGTCAAGCTGGGAGCAAACAAGGTTGTCTAGCCCTACCGAAGTACCAAAAGCTTTCGAGGAACGAAGTCATTCGACTAAGTTAGAGAGGTTACGAAGACCCCACACGATTTTTGTAAATTTTGTAACAAATTCCGAAAAAATAAACTAGTTAGTAAGGCATTATGTCCACCTCTAAAATAACCATGGTTCAAATCCTTTAAATGTAAATCTTTTATCCTTCCTCGTTCAGATTTCGGACTCCTCCATTATTTTTAGTCGTCCCTGTGCTATTGCTAGCTAGACATATACATACTACACAAACAAAGTTCCCAACCCTAATTGTCTTACTGTATTTGTCAATACTTGGAAAAACCTTGCTTGATCCGTGATCCAGGGCTATTACGAATAATTGCAAATTTAGTAACAACCATGAATTCGAGTTGGATCTAATTCACCAAGTCATGAAAAGGATGACAACAAAAATGTTTTTTTCCTCTCTCTCCAATTAGTTAATCCATTAATGAGGCTCTAATGAGATAAAGTTTGGATTAGATGGTGGTGTGAATAGTCTCCACTTAACTTATGAGTTTGGCATTGCCCATCAAGTCTTCTCCGCATTCATATATGTGCAATCCGGTTTGAAAATAGTGACAAATGCACAAAATAATAGCGGTTCTAAGCACATATAGGACAGGAAATGAACCACTTTGATGCAGTTTGTGTTTACAGGGTGCATGCGTCGAGCTCTAATTACCATAGTTAATTGTATACTATGTGAAGCTAAAATTGGATATTGTAGGAGATGAAGGAAGTCGAGACCAAGAGGTTACAGATTGATCGTATATTGTCCATCAATTAATATACATATGAAATCTTAAAAGGATTTGGACCCAACATATATGAATGTTTTAGAATCCATGTCGATTTTGTAATCCTTCCATAATTTTACTAAAATCCAATGTCTAAATCACCATAAAATTGTCATGATCAACCACGCCTCAAATGATTGTTTTTCTCGAAGGAAAAGATTTGCATCTGTTACCGAATGGGGTTAGGGTTCACCGGAAACAGCTAGATACCGTCTTAACATTTACAATGGAAATAGCAACGGATATCAATATCACACTATTAGATATTTGTAGTGATATAAACCATTGCAAACTATATACCATACCGTCGATCAGAAGGGAAAAAAAATCACCAATGAAACAATTAAATCACAGTTCAGTTACAATTTCAATATAAAATACTTTATTATTGATTTTCCCCATATAACCTCTAATATAGTTTTAGAATCCTACGTCTAAACACGGTTTGAAAGGGAAATCCAATCAAACACCATTTAAGAGCGTGGGTTTCTTTTTTGTTTTTGTTTTTGTTTGTGCCACCTGATGACATCCACAATGACGTTCCAACTATAAGCCATGAATTACGTACGGAACTGTTGTTTCATTATCAAAATCATACTTATGAACCGCATAATCATCATCATTAGCCCTACGGAACTGTTGTTCCATTATCATCATACATTGGAGCTTAATTAGGGTTTGAAACTTAAGAAAAGTAAAAGGTACCGATGCAGGACAATAATAAAAACCAAATTTACAGTTGCATATAACCTGCTGTAATTAAGGATGCACATGGATTGGTTGGGTAAGTTTTGAGCATTTTAATAATCCAACCAATGAGTTATGAGTTAAATTATAGCAAACCCAAAGGCCAAAACTATCATTAATTTCAAGACCCTAATTATTTTTTTTTTTTTAGTCACGATCTGGATCAGAGTTGGATGAAAATCCAATCCATAATTAGTGAATAAATTTGTAAATTTTAATAATTCAATATAATAATACAATATGATATTATACGAAACAACAATTAAAAAATTATCATAGTAAAATGTGCATTCGTTCTAGACAAATACACGAACTAATAATAAGGACGATATTTAGCTCCAACCTAGATTGGAGGAACTGGCTACAACCACTTACGTGACTGGTGAGGATTGGGTCATAATTCATTAATATGTATCCAATTTTAACTTGTAGACAGAAAGCAAACGGAAATTCGTTTTTTTTTTTCCTTTTGAGGAAAAACCATCCCCACAATATATAAGGAAGAAAAAAAAATGATATTTAAATATTAAATTAATTAAAAATTAGAATATAGTATAATACTTTAATTTTATTGTATGAATTCTAAGTTCTAGTTATCTAAACTCCGAAACCTAAACTAGTTTACTAAGGGATCATTTGGAAGATGCAATTGTTTTTATGAGATTGTTATCATAATTGTATTATTTAGAATGCATTTTTTTTACAGACACAATACATAGATTGTTTCTATAATATAACAGAAACTATCACTCAAAATGAGTGATTGTTAAATCTCAGCTTTTAACTAAGATTGTTCAGATAGTTGAGTTGAGATTGTTTTATATAAGCATTTAGCTGGTTTGACATACACAATCACACATATCAAACGTTGTATTTTACAATGCATCAATACAAATATAGTATCATACATGTATTCACAATTGTTTGAACCTAACTGAGTGTAGGAGTGAGGTTCAGGGGAATGGGTCGAGAAGAGTAAGCAATGAGAATCCGCTATTGGTTGAAGAACAAAGGAATGGGAGAATGTGATTGAGAGAGTGATATCTTAGAGAGAGAAGTAGGTAGTTTATAGAGATAGAGTCTGAAAAATTCGATCCCCTCACCCACCAGAGTAAATGTCATAATTATAGGCTACATGGTGGTGGGTGAGTTATCCAATGTGACATGACTACTGACATGTCAGAAGTTCAGGCCACACCTCTACCTAGGACTAGAAGATTTGTCCATGATTAAAACCTAGGACTATGATGTGACCACTCTTCGGGGAATGCGGCGTCGTTTTCTGGTTTCTTGGTCTGGTCAACGCTTGATTGAAACGTCGTCGTTCGGCATCTGGGATCTTTGTCCGCGAGTGTGGGCTTCGCCGCGCCCGAGACCCTCGCGCGGGCGCGGCTTGGTTGCGATGGTACTTACGCGCCTGGATCTTCTGGGGCAGTGCTGGGATGCTTCCTTGGCGCGGCTAGACCCGAGCCATATACCCAACAACAATAATACATCTATTTTAACCATCGCAACTTCCAAACATTACCTAAAATACAATAATCAATTAGATTCGTGGAAGGAAAGCAGAGTTAATCCAATAATCATATGATATATGTATACGAGCTAGATGTGTACGGAAAAGCTAGTGCAATGTAGTGTATTATTTGTTATCAAATTGATATTTCAGTTTTAACGAATACAATCTTAGAGTTTGTATAATAAAAATGGAACAAATAGGGTACAAAACCTCGACTTGCAAAACCCGACAAAACTCGATCGTATTATTTATTACGATATGACATATGGTGGTGGAGTCGGCCGGCTTGCTGCGGCGGGTTGCTGTGGAGGGGAGGCAATATACAAGACGAAATGCAGAGTTGGAGAAGGAGACGACGGAGGAAGAGGGGGATTCCAATGGAGGCGGTTGGTTTTGGTTCACGGGTTGGGTTGAGTTGTATTTGAAGACATAACGAGTTTGATGACATGAAAGATCGGGTTTAGTGATGTGGCGGATTAAGATAGGATGGGTCGGTATTTCTGTTAGCCTAAAATTTGGTGTGCAGTGGTAAGTCGGTGTCCTGATTGAACAGCAGAGAGGAGGAAAGCAGAAGAAAGGCTGAGATTTTGATTGAGTATACGTCTCTTAAACTCGCGTTTTTTCTTTCTTCCCCTTTTCCAATTTCATTTTTCGTATAAATAAATAATAAATAAAATACAATTTGGAACAGTTACGCGCCGATGGAAACTACGCGCGGAAGAGAGGAGCGTGGGTGTACAGCACAGAGACACGACCCCTAAAATATTGCGTAATTTATGAAGGAAACGGCACCGATTGATAAAGATCAAATGAACCTGGAAATTGGAATTTTGTGGAAAACAAGCAACCGCGGCGGCGGCCTCACTTCACATGGCTTGCCATGACGGCGGCGGTCGCGCCGTCGTTTGGTCTAGAACCACCGCAACTATGCAGATAGCTTTTTTGTAACCCTACCTAGAAACTGGGAAAAGGACAAAGTTGTATATATATATTTGTAATGTGTAGCTGGTTTCATTCACCCATGGATTTAAAGCGGACACATAGCTAGCCTAGCCATGTGGTTAGGGACAGGGGTGGACAACGGGCGGATCGGGTGGATTTTGACTATAAAAGTAATTCATTCACTTATGAACGGATTGACAATTTTCGATCGGTCACCCACCCACACTTACTATTGGATTGGGTCGGACGGATAGCTGATTATGTGATTGGATTGTCGGATTCACCCAAGTAATAAAAAAATTGTAATATCTGTACAAAATTAAATAACAGCAGTGGCATAAACTAGTTATAAATGACTGCAAAGCTACTAGTAAATACTTCTGAAAATTGAAAAAACGCAATTGTACTAATAAAAATGGAATCTGTAAAATTGAAAACGAGTCTCAATCCAGGATATGACTCATCAACCAGCTAAATAATATATAGTAAAAGAAAACAAATTGTATTCATATTTCAGGAACATAGATGAAATTCAAGTAAATTATCAATTAACAAAGATTAACGTCATTGATTAATGAAAGTGGCGATTCCTTAACCAGCACATCCATTCAACAACCTCTATATATAATAACGTATATATAATAGTAAATGTATATATAGAATATGATAAGAAGTTGATTGTTTTGGGTGGGGAAGTAAGGAAAGAAGACGAGACATAACCGACAGACGGCAGTAGTGTTGTGATGTGCGATGGGTTTCGGTTCAGGTATACTCGTACCATGAATATCCGCCCACACCCATACCCCTAAGTTCGTAATGCTAAATTCTTGGCCTAAACTAAAATTCCCCTGTGTACTATCGTTCCACAACTCTCCCCACCCCAAGTTTCCAACTCGGTCATACGACAGAGAGCCACCAACAGGTACCAATAAATCCGCTAGAGTACCCAGTAGGTTGGGTTGGGTTGGGTTAAGGTTTACGATTTCATAACCTATTAAGTAATTTTCCATATTTTTTTAGTGGATACATCCGTTGGGTTGGATTTGGGTTTACATTTGGTAAACCCCGATCTAGCCCGATTCCTTGTCATCCCATCCCTACATGTGGTCAGCTAGAATGTGAAATAATGATTTTTTTTTACTAGGTCGGATCAAACCCATATCCATAAGCCATTGATTTAAGCTGACCGGATCGAACCGATCAATAAAATGCATTTTTTTATTACTTTCATATATCTCAATTCTCATCTATAGGATTTCATACCGCCTGGAACCATGATCGCACCAAAATGCGGCAGCCAGCCGATGAATCCAAATCGTTGGATTCGGTCTATGAGATTCGAGCAGCAGGCTAGATACGTAACGTGTCGGTTTCCCATTGGATCAGAGGCTAACCACACGTGATTCTATTTTCTACGTACTCAGATTTTAGGAGAGAAAAACAGGAAAATCAAAATCAAGACAGTCGAAGCCAGCCGTGAGGATTTGTGCATATAAATTTGCAAATAAAATAATAATAATAATAATAATCAATTTCCCTTTCTTCTTTCTGACGATGATTGAGTATCGTCTTACCATCCACGATTCGTATAGTTAATTCATTACTTTTTGGGTTTAATTATTGTGATTTTCGTTGGCCAGTGTTGAGATTGTAGCTTTATATCTCCAATACTTCAATACACTTTTCCTGTCTACCCACCAACTCTTTAATTTAGAACAGTTTGCCAGGCAATACTCGTTATTTTATTATTTTACATTAAGAGCGTTTGTTATGAACTGTTTTTAATGAAAATAATAATTGAAAGTAGGGATGATGGAGACGTAATATGAGTATATGACATACCAAAAACTTAATTCTATACAAAAATCTATTTTTATGCAGCGAGACACTGTGACTTCCCGTCGTAGTCAAATAGTCCAATTCAATTCATATCAACATACATACTATACATCGCGTTCAAAATTTTCAAATAAAAGAACTTCTGGCAATCCAGAGCACGTGTATAACTTCTTCATTTCGCGAGTCCAGGTTATAATAAAATGAGCTAAATTAGGAGTATGCATTTCTGATGATCACAATTCACATGATTCAATATTTACGAATAATGATGACAGCAAATAACATTTTTCGCGTGGCATCCTGAACATGTATAAATAAATAAATATATATTGCATTTGAGAGCTCTAGTTTGAATTAAACACATGCTTCGTAAGAAATAATGTAATCAAAAGTCTTTTGATCACAGAAACATTACATCTTAGATGATGGCCATGATCTGCTTCTTTTTTCCCATCACACACATATTGTATCTAATATTATCCCTTGCATCCAAATCATAACATATTAAAAGGCTGACACCTTTTTTTTTCCTGGAAAGTTGGCCAAATTGAAAGTTGTTACCCTTTTCCGTTGATTAATGATGTAATTTTTTTATGAATTTAATGATGGAAATTTCTACATGATTCATATGCTAATTATTTAATGGAGGCTGACGGAGACTAACGGAGAGTGCCCAAATTTGGAATGTTTAGCTAATCCTAGTGATCATGAATGAAATTAAATATTTTTAGTGACCAAACATGAACTTTTTTTAGTAATTTCAGTGACCAACTTTGTAATTTACCCTTTTTCATAATAATATCCATTCCCCAAATTACAAGAATATATAATCCTACTAGTCTATGCTACACGCTATAGCCCACACCTAATTGTAATTTATAACAAGAATAACCATACTATAGCAAATCCCATGAAATCTCTAAATAATTAAGTAATAAAAAACTAAACCAAATAAATAATTCAACAGTTAATATTTAACAATAATAATTTGTGCCATATATAAGATTATTACTCCAAAAAGAGACAACAATTCACTTTTTCCAAGCTTGTAAGCTAAGACAAGAAGGTCGGTTTCAACCGCCGTCAACATCCCACCCGCCCGGCCGCTTCTATAAATTCCAACGATAACAGAACTGAGTATTGGTTTAACGAAGACAAGGAGAAAAATATACAAAGAAGAAAATAATACAGCCATCAAAATGGGAAAAAGGAAAAAAAAAAAAAAGAGGAGTCAAACATGACTGAAAACTAGAATACATAAGTAGTATAAAACTGACGAGCTATAATGAAAAATCTACTGTTGCATCATATGCAATCTCAATATATTAGAAAACTTTCGGTTCGTATTAGATTGCAAAAGAGTGGTATAAGATAACATAATTAAATTCATTTCAATAACTCGAGTTATAGAAATCAATTTATTAATAACAATGTAGAATCTCTATGATCCTTATATTAACAATTGATCTAAACATTATAATTAGGAATGACAATTTCGACCTGACCCGTTTTACCTGACCTGTTTGGTCTGTTTTGGGGCAGGTCCGACCTGCCCCGACCCAGGACCCGTGATAAATTACCCGACCTGGACCCGACCTGCCACGGGACGAGTCTGCATACCAAGAAACCCACTATGGACCTGCCCTATTGCCATTCCTAATTATAATAGGCTTGCGCAAACTTCAAGCTCATGAGTCGCCTTTCGTTCGTCAAAGTTTCGACAGGGCAGCAGACGTCGAGAATTATTCCGCTGGAAAAAAATGGGTCTGAATTATTTTCTGAACGTTCATATATATTATTGAATGGCATCGATTAGACCAAATTGCTTTGCTTGCACACATAAATACGCATATATAATAATCAAAATCGGCTACAGGGGAATTTTTGGGGTCGGCTGCGGCTGACTAACTTTTTATCTTCCACCCCGACTGGTTCTTCCTTTTCCTTCTCATTTTCTGCAGATTTCCCCATTAAAAAATCGAAGCAGCTGGGGAAAAAAAGTGACCCTTGAATGGAATGTGATGCTTTCTAGTAGGCGCAATAGCTAAGATTCAGACAATTTGAATTAGAAGTATTATCAAATTAAGGGTAAAGAGAGACTTGGTATTCATTTCTAGAAGAGAGGGAGGAAACAAATCATGTTGTCAATTGCCATGGAAGTTGTACAGGTTGAAGTATGTTGGTGGTTGCGTCATAGACACACTAGTAATTGATCACCTTGTAGTATTTTTTGTGGCCGTATCGTTAAACGGAATCGAATAGTAGAATAAAACTTTCTTGAACCAGTTGTGCTCCTAATTTTTTTTATAAATATTTGTTAGTGTATACAATATCATATTGGATGGAACCATACTTTCTGTCTATGCCGATTCACACAATATTTGAAAGGGCAAAATGATCTGTCAATACAAGTCATTATGAGTGAACAAAGAGAGATAAAAAAAAAAAAAAACTGAAACATGACTCAACCACCCAATTCAAACCTATCAAGGATACGAAGGACCAATTTGTAGTAGATTCAAATGTATAGGATTAGTCTTGTATGTAATTAGATAGATTAGGTACTAATATGTAATTTAGCTAGTTAGTTAGGACTCGTAACTGTTTTTTTTTCTTCCTCCTTTTCTCTCTCCTCTCCGGCTTTGTAAACAGAGTATAAATCTAGTTGTCTTAGCCGGGTAATGTATGTTTTCCGACTACTAATCGAGAAATCAAGTTTCCTTTCCGTAAACTAGCAAAACTGACCCATCCAAATCATTTGAGAAAAGCCAAAATATGGCGTAATAAAAGTAAAATACCAATTAATGTAGTTAAATTATTCAAGAAATTGAGATTTTCATCTATTTACAACTTTATTGTACTAAAATATGCTATAGTAAAATTAAAACACTACTTAATTTGTGTACAATTAGATATAATTGACACAGTTGAGAACGAGACATATCGGGGAGGATGACATCGAAAATATTATCCATATCCGCTCCGCCTACAAATTTGATATTACCTAACCCAAAACATATCAAACAGGTCGAATAGAACGGTTATATCAAAATTGTATACCTTTTAACATAAAAATAAATGGTCACATCAATAAGCCATTGAGATGGTTACTTAGATCGGCAGCCGTTGATGGGCGAAACACAGCGGGCCGATTAAAGACCACTTGCAGGGAAATAGCCTCTTGGGCCAAGTATGCCGAGGAATTCGAGCCTTCGGCAGCTTCAAAAATAGAACTGGGCTTATTGGGCCGGCCAACTTCGCCCATGTGTGTTACTGAACCTCGTCCTTCTTTTTTCGGTTTTTTTTTCCACTGGTGGGTTGAGCCTGCCGACGTGGAGGAATGTAGACCGGTTGTCCTACCAACCAACCCCAAGTTTGTATCCAACGGTCTGGCAGCCGCAAATTAAACCAACCACCAGGCAGGCGGCGGAGAAGGGAGTGGCAGTGGTTGGTTGGTAATAGTACTCTCCTCCTAACATGCAAAGGAAATGTTAATACATAATTTGGAAAAATCCATTTTCTCATTATGCGGCCAAATTCACCTGTATAGTCAAAACTTTGACGGTTTTGCCAAATATAACCACATTTGGAGAAATACCAGAAATAGCCACTTCCGTCCAATTGTTTGACGGTGTTAGTTAACGTGCTGACTGAACAAACGACAACGATTGACGTGGCATATTTTATTAAAAAATAATGTAAGTGGAAAATAAACAAAATTCTATCTTTTTACAATTAAATAAAAAATTATAAAAAACAAAATTATCTTTCCATCACCAACACCGCCTGTTCACCTCCCCTTCGTCTCGCTCTTCTTCACGCTGAATTTCCCGCTTTCCCGACCTCTTCCAGCCTCAAAATCAGGCTGCTCGCCGATCGAGTCGTGGCGAATCTCAGCTCTTCCTTCTCCATCCTCTTCTTCTCCTCGAACAGCGGCGAGAGATCGAACCCTTCGGACAGAGAAATGATGTGGAACACGTTCAGGGTCTCCTTCGAATTCTCCGATTTCGCTTCGTCTTCTTCGCAATTGAACGCGTCGAATTTGATCTCCTCCTTGTTGTGTACGGTTTTGGGGATGGGTTTTCTGAACCAGGACGACTCCATGACCTTCGAGATGGTGATTCGGCTCGCCGGATTGGGGTCGAGGAGCTTGGTGACGAGGCAGCGAGACTCGGAGGAAAACCACGACGGACATTTGAAGTCTCCCCTGTAGATTTTTCTATACATGGCGACCAGATTGTCGTCTTGAAAGGGGAGGAGGAGGAGGTTCTCTGGGTTCAGATCTAGGTGGTAGATCAATTGCTGGAAGTAAACCCTAGCGGCGTCTTCCCTCAGCCGGCCTCTGGCGACCTTGGAGAAGAGCTCGCCGCCGCGGACGAGCTCCATGGCGATGTATCTTGGACTTGCTCGCACCTGACGTGGTAGTGTTCGATCCCAGCCTCTCGATCTTCCCAAACTTACTCCAATCCACAATTCGAGCCGCCGCCGTCGCCTAACTCTTCTTCTCATCTGATTTCGAGTTGCCGCTTCGGCAGAAGAAGAAGAGGCGCTCCAACTGCCGCTGTAACTCCCGTTAGAGATTCTTCCAGATCTTGAAACTCTTGCCCGCCTCTCCGATTTCGAGGGCATCATCCTCCCCGGGTAAACATATCGCCGCCATCGAATTCGGCGCCGCTCCGGTTCATCTCCTTGTCCAACATCTTCACCACTCGTCCGATGGAAATGGAAATGGAAATGGATTGGGCGAGGAATAGAGAGAAGAAGTGTGTAGGCTTTGAAATTGGCTTCTGGGTAGGATGAAGATGATGACGGGATCGCGGCGGCAGGGAGATGTGTCGTAGTGATGGTGGTGATTAGGTAGTGATTTATTTATTGTTTTATTTATTAATTGTTTTATGGTAATTTTTTTACCCATTAAAAATGACGTGGCATCCCACCTGTCAATGGTATGCTGAGGTGGGAAGGAAAGACACGGTGAGGTGGCAGCCACATCAACTGTCTGTTAATTAGACTAACGGTGTCATTGACGCCGTCAAACTATGTAACGGAAATGGCTATATTTGTCATCGAACTTTCAAAAAGCTGGCTATTTCTGGTATTTCTCCAAAATTGGCTATATTTGTCACAACTGTCAAAGTTTTGGCTATGCAAGTGAATTTGGCCTAAAAAGAACTTAAAAAAAAAGAACTTTCAACTTATGATGTGCCGGATGTTTCTACTTCGATTATATTATCGGTAAATCAATTTTATAGAAATTTACCGTAGATCATACGAGTGAACCCTACAAACCACCCGAAACAGAAGACAAGTAAGTAAGCTGAGACTTTTATGAGGTTTAGATTCTCGAGTCTAACACATTTTGCGAAAAGAACAATGGAGAACCATTGCAAAATATAAAATTTAAGGTAAATACTAATTACTAGTAAAATCTTTCCCGTATTAAAAAAAAATATTATCTTACCCTTTCGAAATACCAAATATTAGCTAAACGTTCACTTCTCCAATCACTAGTTTTGTTAGTAATATTGACTCAGAAGAGACACATGAAGATCAATATTGCAAAACTTTAGTATTTTAACTACGAAAAGAGTTACAAAATTATTAACGGTAACAGAAAAATAGCTAATATTTTGATGCGTTACCAGTTCATGTTTTCGGGTTCAACGAATCGGTACAGTAACGTTTCCCAAAACATCGATTTTAAGTCGACACCGATTTCCCAAAACTCCGCCACTCCCTATAGTAAGTCGACACGTTAAAAACACTATGTATTAATGCTAGAAAAGACACGTAGTTCTTATTAATCTCTTATAATTGTAATAAGTAGGGATGACAATTTCGACCTGACCCGTTTGACCTGTTTTGGGGGGCATGGGTACCTCCCACCGACCTGACCTGCCCCGACCCGCCTCATTCTTGACCCGTTCTTGTCTAAATTACATATAATCTTAGTCAAATTATTTAGGATTTTCCTCTCATTACCTCATATTTTAGCTATAATAAACTTGTAAATAAGTGAAAACCTTAATTTCTCCAATAATTTAACTACACTTCATCATATTATGGTTTCTTTCTTGGTCTTTTAATTAAAATGACGAATATTTCTAATGTTTTCACATATATTATATACCCATTGGATCGACCTGCGCCGACCTGATAAATTAGCCAATCTGGACCCGACCTGCCACAAGGCGGGTATGGGTATCGAGATACCCGCCCATTCCTAATAATAAGTGACTCCTAAAATGACACGTAGTTTGAGTGAGCAGATTGTCAATCCCTGTCTACGTAGTTGTACTTGTAGTATTTGAGTTTGGAATTCCAATCCAAACGCCACCCACCTTGTGCCAACCCTCCTTTCCTCGGCTCATCCTCCATTATTATTATTATTATTATTATTATTATTATTATTATTATTATTATTATTATTATTTCCACAGAGAGAATGAGGATCGGAAAATTACTGTGCATTTCTTGCCAGCAGGAAAACAACATTGATCAATAAATGCGAAACTTTCTAAGTACTAAGAGGACAAAGCTAGTAATGAATGAATGCGCTGCGTTTTCCCTTCTTCTGAATTCTGGTGATGAAGTCAAGTACTCAAGTTGCCCCACCACTCTTTGGTAATAGCTAGTATGTAAATTGGTTGAATATCTTTTTCAAAAAAAAAAAAAAAAATAAATAAATAAATCAAAAGTCAGCTAATGTATGTATATACTACGAAGTGCTCGTTTCCTCTTGCGCTACGAAAATCAGAAGAGCATCAATGCGTGCGTGACAGTCCGCCTCGTAATGATTATCCTCCGGGATTCTTATACTTTAGAGGTTATGAGATCATTCATATGTGTGGAGAGAGACAAACAATTTTGATCTGAACCCGCGTAGCTGGATACATAAAGGATTCACATTTAGTTATAATTCATATGATTAATGAATCGATGTTTGAAAGGGTTTTTTTATCCTCCTCACATTGACACATTTCTAGTACTATAAAAATCGCCTTAGTTCTTATGGTCACAAAGAAAAGGAGAGAGATGGAGGAAGAAAAGAGAGAATTGATGAGTTTGTTAGTTGTTACAAAAATGTTCCAACGTGTGGAATCAAACTTGATGTAAGAAGATCCCTAAGTTTGTTTTCGTGCAATCTTCTCATGCGTCCAAAATCGGAACAAACTGCCCATATGATCCGATGATGAAGTTATTAGCTAATAGCTCTAGCTAGCTAGCCATTTCATATTTTTACTCATAATTTGTTTTCAAATAATTCATTAATTTTACGTAAACAACCCATATAATTTGTTTTCAAATAATTCATTAAAACAAAAAGAAGAAGAAGAAAAAAAAATTAGCGAGAATATATGGCGTCAGTTGGAGTTCACAAAATCAAAAACAAAAAATTCACAACAGTCTTTGTACCTCTTTATAACTAAACACCAAATCCGCTATTTCAAAGCCTGGCTTCCGGGCGCTCAGCAAAGCAGCAGCTTTACCATTTCTTTGCTCTTCTAATTTCCTTAATCCCCCGCCGCCATGGAGACGCCGCTGCTCACCCACTCCGGCGCCGGCGGCGACGACTACGCCCCGGTCAAGTCCCTGCCGGCGCTCCGGTCGGTGTTCCGCACCGAGACCGTGAAGCTGTGGAGGATCGCCGGGCCGATTGCATTCAACACGGTGTGCCAGTACGGGCTCAACTCCGTCACCAACATGTTCGTCGGACACATCGGCGGGCTGGAGCTCTCCGCCGTCGCCATTGCACTCTCCGTCATCAGCAACTTCTCCTTCGGATTCTTGGTTAGTGGGATTTTTCCTTTTCACCCTCATCTTTTTTTTTTTTTTCTCGGCTTGGAAATTTCCGGCGGTGTTTGAATTAGATTTCAGAAATTTGTAGTGGTAGTTACAGATATTTTGAGTTACACCCGCGTGTGTCACTTCGTTTTTTAGATTTGGAAGAATTTTCAATTCGGCCATGAGTAAAAATCACTTCAACTTCGTACTCAATACTTATAAAAGTTACCATGTTGTAAATGATTTGCAGTTTTGGAATGAAGAGTATTTTGAGTAGTTGAGAGTCGGGTCATTTCATTTGATCCTTTTCTTCACATAGCAAAGGTTTTTGGGACCGAAAATCTCTCGATGTGTTTGAATTAGAGCTTAGAGACGTAGTTGAGTGGTTATGACTTATGAGCTAGATCATCTTATGTATTGTTATAGATATTTTTGAGTTACGTGCACGTCATTCTTAATTAGTAGTTTACCAGTAGCGGAAAGTTCTACAAACACAAGTTAGATTTGAACACTTTTCAAATTTGGGGCACGGCAGTATAACTTCAAGTTCCTACTCAATGCTCCAACATTATCTTGTTGTAACTAATTTGAAATGCAAAGTATTATCTGGTTCAAGGTCGGGTCATTTCGAACTGCCGAGCTACTACAAAGTTAAATATTTTGAGTTGCAGTTCATAATAAAAATCGAATCATTCTTCTCCGGTGGTTCGCTAATGATTGAAAACTAGCTAGATTCATACAATTTCCAATTGGGTCATTGGTTTTTGTCCCTTCCAAGTTCCTACTCAATACTTCCAAGTTATAACTAACCACTCTGAGCTACACAATTCCACAATCAAATACTAAAGATGTTAGTTAAGTAACATGGTGTAACAAAATTTGTGCAGCTAGGAATGGGGAGTGCACTGGAAACCCTCTGCGGCCAAGCTTTTGGAGCAGGACAGGTCCACATGCTAGGAATCTACATGCAAAGATCATGGATCATCCTCTTGGTCTCCTGTCTCTTCCTCCTCCCTCTCTACATCTTCGCCACTCCAATCCTCAAGCTCTTAGGCCAGGAAGAACAGATAGCCAATCTAGCAGGCCAATTCACCGTCCTCATAATCCCACAGCTCTTCTCCCTGGGAGTGACTTTCCCAACCCAGAAGTTCCTCCAGGCGCAGAGCAAGGTCACTGCTCTGGCCTGGATCTCGCTCGCTGCGCTGATGGTGCAGATCCCTCTGCTGTGGCTCTTCATCTTCTGGTTCGATTGGGGCACGACCGGTGCAGCTCTGGCTTATGACATGACAAGCTGGGGTGTGGCTATAGCTCAGGTTGTTTATGTGATCGGTTGGTGCAAGGAAGGTTGGACCGGACTGTCGTGGCTCGCGTTTAAGGACATTTGGGGGTTCGTCAGGCTGTCGTTGGCGTCTGCTGTCATGCTTGCTCTTGAGATTTGGTACTTCATGAGTGTCATTGTGATTACTGGTCATCTTGATAATGCTGTCACGGCGGTTGGATCACTTTCGATATGGTGAGCTTGACCCAATTTGTTTGATTACTTGGTGCACAAGTTTGTTATGTTCTTTCTTTCTTTCACTAACAATCTTTTTCCCCCCTTTGTTCAACTTTTGCAGTATGAATTTCAATGGATGGGAAGCGATGGTGTTCATTGGGATCAACATAGCTATAAGGTAAGATTTCTGCTTAGCGTGGTTACAATGTTTGATCATGATTCTGTGGTTGGGTTTTACCTATTGATTGATTGGTTTTTTGCAGCGTTCGAGTATCGAATGAGCTAGGAGCAGGGCATCCTAGAGCAGCGAAATACGCGGTCTACATCGTCGTGTTTCAGTCGTTCCTAATCGGGCTGTTGTGCATGGTGGCCGTGCTGATATCGAAGAACTACTTCTCGATAATCTTCACCAATGACAAAGACCTGCAGGTAGCTGTGTCTAAGCTGGCGTTCCTGTTGGGGATAACCATGGTTCTCAACAGTGTGCAGCCAGTCATTTCAGGTAGGGTAAAAAACACCATTGAACTATCTCAATTCCTTGTACAGAAAGGCAGAGTACTCTGTTCTTAGAAACCCTCTTGCTATAATCTGATCAGGTGTGGCTATTGGTGCTGGGTGGCAAGGGCTGGTGGCTTACATCAACATATTCTGCTACTATGTATTCGGGCTGCCACTAGGGTTTCTTCTCGGCTACAAATTTAACTTGGGTGTCACGGTATCATCAACAAAACCTATCCTTCTTTTTGTTTGCCATATTCGACACCCTCGAGCTTTCGTGCTCTGATTTGATCAACGATTTGTTTGAATGTTGTGCATGGAACAGGGGATTTGGGGTGGAATGATTGCAGGGACGGCATTGCAGACTCTGATACTCTTGATCATCCTCTACAAAACCAACTGGAACAAAGAGGTGAGAAAAGCGAAAACTAATTGGTTTAACTTTTCATCTCTCACATTGTTTCATCTCTCGTTGAATGTAAAGGTGAAATCTTTTATGGGAAATGCAGGTGGAGCAAACAACAGAGAGAATGAAGAAATGGGGTGGCCATGAGATCAATGGTGATAATCAGAGGAAGATCAATGGAGCTTGAAAACAGGGGAGAAAGGAAATGAAAAGCTTTGAGGATGATGAGTTTGTGGTTTTGGGAAAATGATTAATGTAAAGCAATGAACTAGAGAGGACATCCCCAATTGAAACTTGGAAAACCCCATATTCTAGTTAGCATTTTAGAGTTTTTCCTCCTTTTTGAGTAAGCCTAGTCTTAATCTATGGGCAGTTCTCCTGGTTCCTTAACTCTCTGATTACTGTTGTATTATGAAAAAGTTATTATTGCCATGGCTGGCTAGGGCTGTTAGTTTGGTTTGGTTAACAAACCATTAAGCATGAAAAAATCAAATCAGACAAATTCTCAAAAATAAAAATAAAATTTGGATGATATGTTTTTTGGAAGTTCTTTTATGCCTTCTTGATATGTTTTTGTGCTTTTCAAGGTAAAATACTACCTAGGAGAATTTGGATCAAACATTGGATGATTCTGGAGGACCAAACGAACTAAAGAGAGAAGAATATGAAGTTTTAACAAGGTTCAATAACGGAGAAACCTACTAGGAACCACGAGTAAAGCCCAAGAGGAGTCCAATGGAGGAAAACTCGGCCCAAACCAAAGCAAGAACCAGTGTTCCCAGTATGATTCTTGTTTATCTTTATAATTATTTGTGCTATTATTTCATATGATGCTTGTATTTATGCTATTGAATTTCAATGCTTATCATGGGTGTATGTATGCTTTTAGTTTCGATGCATATGCGATGGGAATGTTTATCCAGTATGAATGCTTTCTTATCATCGATACTTATGATTATATAGTATACCACAATATGCATTGTGCTTAGTATCATCTAGGTTGTTAAAAAATTACCCTATAGTGATACCTCATTGATGCTACACGAGTAGAGATAGAATGATCAACCATATATATCTCGAGTAGTATCAACGATTGTTTGTTAGATCATCGATGTTATAGATCATCAATTGTGCCTCAAGAGGCTCACACTAATCATGTGCTATCTTCACTTTTTTGTTCTTCATTGATTAGGTGATGACATGAAGTGAAAACACACATTAGCTACTCAAGTTCCTATTGCAGGTGGCGAAAGCTCGAGTAGGATTAGGGATGGTGATTTGAACCCGCCCCATCAAGTATTACTTAACCTGTCCCGTGATGGAGTAGGTATTATCCGACCCGCAGTAGGGTGGAGTGGGGCATGTGAATCTACTTTCGACCCGTCCCACCTCACCCCGTTATTAGCTCATTCTATCTCAATTCATACAATATATATTATATTCCTCCTATTTTGGCTTTATTTCAACTAGTTATACTTGACTTTCAGCTATTTAGACTCAATTATTCATTCTATTATCACTATTTTTCATTCATACAGTGTTTTCCCTTTGTTTTATCGTAAAAAGTAAAATTTTGTGTATATTTTCCAAATAAGTTGTAAAGAGTGGGTCGACCCACCTCGCTCCTTGTAACACCCTACCTTATACGTTTTTCCTAATCATATTGTTCATACAATTGCAGCGGAATTAATCTCGGGTGTTACATTAATTATAAAAAATTACCCAAATAAAATTTCGACATGAATTACTCACGTAATGGGCTAACAGTTCTTACAACTTATCATGCAAAATAACTCATCACAAACATATATACTCACAACCATATGCATTGGCTTTTCTTAGCCATAGTCACACTTTTCATACTCCACAACTGCATACCATACTTATACATACCATAATCGTCACAACTTACACAGTTACACAACATATACACATATCATCAACTTTCCACACCTGTGGATATCTCACACTACATCAGAAGCTATTATGCACATGAAAAACGTTCTCAAAACATTTTTACAAAAATGTGTAGATCACTGGCCAAAATCCCGAGTAGTCATCCAAGCACAGAATAGTTGAAGACCATACCTCATCCTGGCTTCAACTCTAGCTCCTCTCCCACCTAACACTTATCTACTGCTGCTGATGATCTGCTTACACATAGCATAAGCAGAGAAGAAGAATAAAAGAGGGTCAGCTCATAGCTGAGTGAGATAATCATAGCATCGTGAGTTCATAACAGAGCATACCCCTATCATAAATCTAACAATTAAGCCAAAACACTAGGATCGGACTTCATCCATCCTCATATTCCAATAGGCAAAAGACTCAACCACCTTGACTTATGCATATGCATCTTATCATGTTTTAATCATAGGCGCCTGGCTACTCCCATGCTAATTACTCTCCTGGGCATACGGACCAAACATCTCGTGGATGTGGTCATATCGTACCCACCACTGCCGGTGTAGTCATATCGGACCTGACACCACGCTGGGTGTGGTTATATCGGACTCAACACCACTCTGGGTGTGGTCATATCTCATGATGAATCAACGGTCAACACCACATCAGGGGTGTGACATAACATATCATAACGGAGTAATAGCATGAGGAGCCCTAATTACTATATAACTGACCATGAGACCAAATCACTCTTATTTGGTAATCTTATACATGATTCATATCTCATCTTGCTTAATCATAATTCGTTACTTTCACATGTACTAGACCTGGCCATACTTGGCTCAACATAGGTAAAACAAGAGTCGTATAATTGCACTTCCTCAGGATGAACTCTCGTGCAAGTCATCCTCCTTAAACATCATAATATCACCCTGGGAAGTTTATTTCCCCTAAGTGTGAATCCAAATACAACCACAATATCACATCATGTCAAAACACCTGATCGAACAACCATGAAGTCATATCAACAGTTTAGCCACAAATGGCAACATGTATGCAATCATCAGCATAAACAAGGTCTATATCGATTAGGGCAAGTCAATAATATCATACAGCAGTCCAGGGTTCAACATATAGCACAAAAGTTCATACTCCCCTAATCATGCCATTCTAGTTCACTTAGGTCAATTCTAAGCATCAATATAATTATCGTGATACGACAAACCCGGTATGTCGTGCTAATCCCTCACCAGTTCTGGTCGTTCAAACACCGGTTTAACCTTCCCGTACTAAAACGTCAATTTCACGAACGAACCCCGAATTAAAATCCGAGACCGTCCTAATATCCCCTGTAGTATCCCCGTCAATTTAGTTCTAGACTCCGGGTCAAATTCTCGATAAAAACACATCAAACCCTGGCCGGAGCTAAATTCAGCGATTTGGACCCAACCTAAATAATTGCCGAAATTCAGGGATTAGAACTAGAGGATTGATTACCTCGCTGCAGGAAGCTCGTATATGAAATCTGGGCTTAATCCGACTTCCGGATACTCCGAAACCCTAATTTGGCTTATCGGGAATTCAAGAAATTCCTGAACCAAAAACTCGTTTTAAAGCTCTAAATCAATAAATCACGATGTATAGATAAATTAGGCATTACTTACGGGATTTTTGGATCACTAGAGCTCAAGATTTGAGCTTTGGAATTCTTGGCCGAGCGCTTTGTTTCTTTACAGGAAAGTGGTGCATGACGAGGGAGAATTCGGGGTTGGGGAGGTCGTGTATGTGAAGCAGAAGGGAGGACATGAGATCTAGGAGTTAGAGGAATGCAGAATGTGTTTCGATACGGGTAAGGCTATCATGATTGAATGCGATTCTTTTGTTAGTAGATACTGATAGGGTTGGATGGAGGCCCACGTGGAGGCAGCTCAGATCCAAGGGATGCAAATGGAAGGCTTATTTAAGTGACTTCTTGTGGGCTTTTTAGCCTAGCCGAGTAAAGGGGGGAGCCGATGAGTTTGGCTTGGTACAAGCCAATGTTTTGGGAGGGAGAAAGGGAAAAAGAGGGCCCGACGGATGATTAAAAGGGGAGAGAAGCTGATAAAGTGGCTTCTGCGGGTCCATCAAGAAAAAAGTAGGAAAAAAAGAGAATTAATTGGAGAGATGAGAGAAGTGACGAAAAAATATAAAGAAAAGTGAGAAATAATTGGAGAGAGGAGGGAAGTGACAAAAAATAAAAAGGAAAAAGTAATTGCAAGGAAGAGAGAAGTGACGAAAAAGTGGGGGGAAAAAGAGAGTGATTGGGGGAATTTATTTTTGGACCACTTCTTTTCACTCTCAACCTCTCTCATTCTTTTTTGTGTGGATATTTATCCATGGGCGGAAAGATTTCAAGTTTATGTGGTCAGATATTAGTCTGGGCGGTATGGATATTTATCTTTGCATGAACTGATATTATATGCAGTGGATATTAGTTTGTGAAGTAATGAATATTGTGTCTTCCATCAAAATTAAACACACTATCAAGTCCTAACACATAAGGCTTGCAACCTTAGTTAGGGCTGCCCGCCGAGGGCCCATGGGCCGAAGGCCAATGAAACAATAATAGTAAGAGAGTGAGGGTTTAAGGTTTATGATTTAGTGATTAGTTTTGTAGTCGGATATTAAACTCGGTGGTATTTGTATTTGTTTTTGCAAAGAATGTTTATTAGTTTAGGTGGTTCGGATATTAGCTTTGGTTTGAATTGATATTAGTTCATGTTTTCAACTATTTGTGTGGGATGTTTGGATATTTGTTTTCTCGTTAACTGATATTAGTCTGTTGATATTAGTTCATTAGCCAATTTAATTACTTTTGGTATTAGTTTGCGATTGTTAGATATTAGTCTATGTGTGGTGAGTATTAGTCTGCGATTGTCAGATATTAGTCTGTGTGTGGTGGGTATTAGTCTGTATGGTGAGGATATTATTTACGATTTGAATGTATATTGGTCTTAGGAGATGAGATATTAGTTCGGGTGTTGTGGATATTTGTTATGGTAAACGGATATTATTCTGGGTGGTTTGGATTTGTTTTGTGTGGATGTGTATCTAAGTTTGTTTTGAAATTTAGTTTAATTAGCGATTAAGGTTTAGATTTTATGTGTAATTGGTATTATTTTGTGATGTTCAGATATTAATATGTGTGTGGTGGGTATTAGTTTACGATGGTAAGATATTAATCTGTGTGTGGTGGGTATTAGTCTGCTACGGTCCGATAATAGTCTTGGTGGTTTGGATATTTGTTGTATATGCTTATATCAATTTAGGGTGGTGTAAGGGTTTAGGGTTTAGAATTAGGGGGCTACAGTTTAGAGTTTGGAGTTTAGGATTCGCCTTTGGGGTTTAGGATTTAGGTTTAGGGGGTTGGGGGTCAGGGTTTGGGGTTGAGGTTTAGAGTTTAGGGTTCAGGATTCAAGCTTTGTGTTTAGTGTTTAGGGTTAGGGTTTCAGGTACAGGGTTCAAGTTTCTGTTTCGGGTTTAGAAGACGATATTGTGGAAATGGTTTTGAACATTATGTAGGGTGGTTCGATTTTTGTCTGTGGTGATAAGATATTATTATGTGATTGGAGGATATTAGTATGAGATGTGTGGATATGTTGGATGTGTAGTCGGATATTAGTCTAAGACAGTCAGAAATTAGTCTCTGAGCTGTGGATATTAGTTTGTGTAAGTGAGGATATTTATTATGCGAGGAACGAATATTGGTCTTAGTGGTGTACGTATATTGGTCTGCTATGGTTTTCGAGTACGCAAAACTAGTGAGAACACTCGATACAATTAGTAGTCAAAGCTATTCCGACATGGCGATTATAACATTCCAAACAAAAAATAGTACTTAAGAAAATTCTTAGTTCAAGTATGGGCTTGCTGCTCCAAAATGTCGATCATCTTTTGGAGTTTTTCCCGCCTCGATAATAGCTTGATCTCACAGGGATTAAATGTGTTTAATTGATGACTAAAGGGAAAAATAAACCGAAGAATCGTGAAGAGGCAAAGAGACTGAGGATATTAGTCTGGGCTTTCAAGATATACTTTGGCACACAAAAAATATTAGTCTGAGCTTTAAGGATATTATTCTACATAAAGACGGATATTTTTCTGGGAGGTTACGATATATTTTTGAATAAGAACTTATGTTGGTAATTATATCCAACATTTGGCAAAATATTATCCATCATGCTACAAACCAACATCCTTCCCTAAATATTATATAACCATAAGTTCAGTTTTACAAACCAATATCACACTACACAAATCTAAAATCAACTTTTCTTCCTTTTCCCTCATCGTCTTGGTCACCACTTTCTTCATCCTCAATTTCTTGGTCCTCATTTTGTTGTTGTTGTTTGGCACATTTAGGCCTAAAGGTTTCGCCTTCTGATGTGGTCCTCATTACAGCTGATTTAGTTCTTGTCATTGTGATTACCATGCCCAGTAGAATATCCTGACATTAGCTAACCAATATTTGGACTTCACATAACGAATACCCCAACGATCAGAAGTAATATCAAACAAATCATATCCAAATATATCAAACAACTATCCAGGCAATTCACAAATGATATCATGGTCGACCAAAACTAATATCAATGTAGGAATATCCAGATATATCAAACAACTATCAAGGCAATTAAAAACTGATATCCTGCCCGAACAGAACTAATATCGGAACAACACACAAAACATATCCACAAAACTCAGAAAACAAAGCAACCCAGATCCAATCAAATTCGCAAAATCCACAAACAAATCAACCCAGACTCAGATCCAGTCACATCCACAAACCCAGAAAACTTATCCACATAACCCACAAAAGAAAGAAACCCAGATCTAGTCAAATCTAAGTTACCAGAAAACAAATCCATCAAACTCATACAAAAAAACGTAGGAAAAGGAAAACCCAGATCTAGTCGAATCCATGAAACCCTAACTTTAAACACTACTTATTTCTTTGAAACACAAAATCAGAATCCAAGAAACAAAATCAAAAGAAAAATGGAACCCTTAAAATCGAATCCCCTCGTGATATTCGAACGAGGACGGTGTGGATATGCAAATATGTCATATCTCCCTCGCCTTAGAAGCTTCTTCCCTTTGTTCCTAAATGAAAATAGAACAATCGCTTTCAAAAACTCGATTGAATCACAATAAGCAAGGTGAAGAATGAAATAGAGATGAGAGAGAGAGAGAGAGAGAGAGAGAGAGAGAGAGAGGAAAAAGCAAGGTTACCGTCGTCTTCTTCCTTCAAGCACAACTACCGTCGCCGACAACTTCTTCCTTGTCGCGATACCGTCGTTGCCGTCGTTCTCACTGTCGTCGTCGCCTGCTTCGTTAGAGTCAGAGAGTGTTTCTGGTGATTATTGGGAGAAAAAGGGAGGAGGAAACTGTCGCAACCGCCCCTCCGAGATCTGGGTACCCGTCGCGAACGATCGGAGTCGCCATCGACCGCGCTTTGGGGTGGGTCGAACACCCATTTACGGTTTTGTTACTTAGGTTAAAACCAGAAATCTGGTTGGGTCTTGACCTTAGGGTCAAAATCGGGATTTGGTCTTCGAATTTTATAGAATTTGGGTTCAGGAGTACTGTTACGTGTGGGGAAGTGTATTCACACCCCACAACGCCCATAATTGGTACTACTATGTTTCTCTCTTTCCCTCCGTTCCTGGTTATGACGGGAAGAAAGGAAACGCTGACGATTGAGGACAGCGGCGATGACCAAGGTCTGAGGTAGGTGTTTTCGGGTTTGCATGTCATCTTCTCAAGTATTTTTTGTCGATTTAGAGTTCTGATTGTCTATTTCTTCGATTTTTCTAGGTTTTTGGCCAATGCGCGAACCATGGGAAAATGGAGGTGGTTCGCTAGGCGAAGGGAGTCTCCGGCGGCGGCAGGCGGCGGAGGAGCAGAGAGAAGGAAGGTCGGCGACTGACGGTCTATTGACAGGTGAGGGTTTTGATTTTTATGTCTTGGGTTATTTGGTTTCTTGGGCTTCTGTTCAGTTCTGATTTTTTCTTTATTTTGGTTTTTCTGGTTCGATCTGGTGGAGGACGGGAGAGATGGAAGCAGTCGGATCCGAGTGGGATGAGAGCTCGCCGCGGCGAATACAGGCGGTGTCGCGGGCGGCTTTTACCGCAGAGGAAGTTTTGACTTCATGTGAGATTTGTGGGGTTTCTGATTTTTGGGGGTTTGGCGATTTTGGGTTTGTATGGGTTTTACTGTGATGGTGAGGGATTTTGTTTGGGAAATCTGTGTTGATTGGTTTGGTTTTGCAAGTTTCTGTTTATAATTGGGTGTTTGTGCGATGATGGTAATGGGATTTGCTCTTTGATTCTGGCTGTGCTAAGTCGAATGGGTGAGATGATTTGTTGTTTGATTTGAAGGTGACAGTGGTGTGTTCGTTTGCTGTATTATGTGTTTTTATGGCTGGTCTGATCATATGAATAGATTTGTGGTGATTTTGATGGTTTCTGGTAGGGTTGGGAAATGGTGCGGTCTGGTCCAGACCAGACCATCTATACGGTCTGTGGTCCAGACCGAGAGGCTAAAGTATAGACCACGGACCAGACCACAGACTATATGGTTCGGTCCAGACCACGCCTATGCGGTCTGGTTTGGTCTGGTCCAGATAGACCATACTCAACGAAAAATGAATAATTTGTTTAGTCAACTACACAAAAAATTGAACCAATAACCAGGGAAAATAATTGTTATTTTCCTTAAATCATTAATCCTAACATGCATGAATAATTTTGATACTCTAAATCTTAGTACATACCAAAGATACAAAGTAAAAGCATCCCAACTTGCACCATAATGTCATAAACATTAACATAATGTCATATGGAGACACGATTATCTCTACTCTCTAGTTAAATGTGGTTGTGAATTAAGGAGGGACAAGATTCACAAAACTAAGGTTGAGACTTGGGTGTCGTTTTGGGAGTTGGGAGAGTGGTCGAATGGGCTGTTAACACGTATTTACAAGTCAGTTGGGTCCACGTTTGGCCCGGTAAACCGCGGTCTAGACCAAACCAGACCAAGAGATCAAAATATAAAATAGTACTGACCATGGACCAGACCATACTTAACAGTCTACGGTCCGGCCAAACTGTACGGTACGGTTTGGACCACAGTTTTTCTAACGGCCTGGTCTATTTTCCCAGCCCTAGTTTCTGGTTAAGAAATTGTATTAGCCAAATCTGTTTTTGATTGCTTTTGAATCCGATTTTAGCTTAGTTACGTATGTAGTGGAGCATACCCGATAAAAATAAAGTGATCAAGACAAGAACATGAAAGAAACGAACCCGGTTTTCTGTTTTTATTATGGAGTTCTAGCTTAAAAGAAGATAACATAGTAGAAGTTTAATCAAGATCCTATATGAAACGTATCGTTATGCATCTATTAGCATATTAGTAATTGTAGAAATAATATACTTAACTATAAGTCAGTTATCTCAACAGAAAGATAGCTAACTTGAATGAAAGTACATGTATGCTATTTAGTTTATAGAGAGATAATTTAGGAGAAAAATAGGTACAATAATGATGATTATAGTAAGTAGTTGAATTGCAATGATGTCAAGTACTTGAAAGGAAAATAGATTTAGATTTTATCCCTTTTAAGGTGTTTAGATCGACTTGATTTAAGGCAAGGTGGTGGCTTTGTATTCTTGAAATTGGGTGTTCATGGAGGGTGCGATTATGGAAACTTTCGGGTGACCGGGACATGAACTTATGAACCTGAGTTTTGAGATTTTCTTGAAATTTGGTGGGGTTTATGGTGTAACGGGTTTTGGAAATAGTGTTGTGTTTATGGTTTGAAGTTTTGTTTAGAGTTTTCCAATTGAAACTGGATTTTGGTGTGGTATTATGGTGGATTTGATTTGGGGTACTCATGGTGATTGATTAAAAATGAGTTAAATATGATTAGATTAGGGTATGTTTCAATTTTTGAACCTAAAATTTTGGAGGGGTTGTAAACTAACAAACTGAGTCTGAAATGGTTTTGAGACCATTCTTTGAATTTAAAGTCTAGATTGTGAAAATATGCGGGTTTTGGTGCTGTTTTTGATTGCTTATGGTTTGGACAATAGCGTGGTGTATGTGTTTTTTAGTATACTAAATGAAGCAAAGCAAGTAACATAAGACAAAGAAAGTAAACAAATATAGTTTTACTCGTGATATGCTTAAATGATGAGAACCGAACGACATTTAAATTGAAATACTGAAGTAAATGACAAAGGCTGAAATAGATGTGAAAATAAATATGATGAACTTATAAAGAGAGCAACTAAATCTGTTTAATTGATGAGGAATTTTACAATGATATATAGCATTGGTGCTATAGGTTTTTGCCTTTATGGTACAATTTCTTTAACGTTATGGTACAACTTTAGATTGTACCTATACTTTTTGTACAAATTCTTTTATGGTACAACTTGAACTTATACTTTTATGTGATGGTACAACTTCAAGTTGTAAAGTTGTACCATAACATAATGGTACAAATTCTTTTATGGTACAATCTAAACTTATACATTTAATGTTATGGTACAACTTCAAGTTGTACATTAAAGCACCGATACTATATAGCATAGTAGAAGTGCTCTGAATTGATTTATTTTCCTATTATGATGGGATTAGCCACCTTGTAATTTGCTTGAAGTTCATTAGAGTTTGATTTATTTTGGAGTTTACAGGTCAAAGTTGTAATTTGATTGAGGTTGATTGAGTTTTGGTTTTGAAAAGAACTTAGTAAGATGATTTAAGATGATGAATGATAAAGATGATCGTTTGAATTTAGTTTGGTACCAACCGTTACACTTGTTGTTTGATGATGTTTCTGACCTCCTTTGATGTTTCCTACGTTTTTTTTGTTGATATTGGCGGCAGTGGTAGGATGCTTGTGGCGAGGTGGCACCATATAAGGGATGGCAACAAATTCGAGGTGGCACCCATGGGTTCGGGTTTTGTTGCCAAAGACGGTTCTGATAGAAAAGTGTAGATGCTAAGAGTGATGAATATTGAAATTCGTCCAAAGACGGTTCTGATTATGAAGATGACATGGAGTATGAAGCTTTATCTGATAAATGTTTGCCAAATAGAACCTCTTCAGCAACTGCATTGGCTGCAGTACATACAATTTTGCTATAATATCGATTTTTCGTTTCACCTCAGTGTTTATGTGGTTGTTACAGAACTCAAAGAAAAGGGCATTTTTTTCCGGCCTTCAGAAGATAGGAAAAGAGGATACCAGAACACGTAAGGTGCCACAAACAAACTGAACTGAAAAGAGCAAAAGCAACACTGTCGTTGGCAACATTGTCCATGTCTCTTCCTTGACGTGTTTGACAATCAAGCTGCAGAGTTCGCCTCAAGGAAGGTCAGTTCATGTGATCTCGTCTGTAATTTGAATCACAACTCTACTGCCAGTAAATGAACTTAAACCACTCTGGACTTATTGCTTTTTTTTCTTCCTGATGCATCCTAGGTGACACTTGAATGCATCCTAGGTGACGGCCATAACCGGAGATATACCTCGCGCTCTAGAGATATGCAGGCGTGCAGCTGAAGGTGCTGATGATCATATCAAATTGTTGAGTTAAACAACCACAGGTATGTATATAGTCTTGAGTGAAGAGAGAAGCATTCACTTCAAAGTTACTGTAACAACCAGTTGAGTGAAAGCAAAATAAATGTATTGCCAAACAGGAGCTAGGCACAAGCTGCAGATATTGCAGCTCAACTTTCCAAGATTTGCTTGCTTCCTTTGCACATATCTCAAGTATAAAAATAAACCTTGCTTTCCTAGTTGTACCACATAATGAAATCATCTAGTATCCAACTACCATCAACCGCGGGATGGGAAACCGAAACGCTACGATCTTTGAAATCAAATGCGTACAAGTTTTGTTCTTCATGTTCTAAGAAGTAAATCGTGTTCTTCTTGAACCCGGATTTAGTAGCACAACATTGATAACAACCTGCATCGCCCCAGAAAAATGTTCGATCACCCAGATCTTCGACCTTTTGCCATCCCATCATCTCCAAATTCAACTTGAATGCTTGTATATCCAAAACAACACCAAATCTGCCTGGGGCGTCGAACTTGGCGATAAGAAATAGCTCGCTGCCAGACGCTACCAGCGCTTTTCGTATCTGCCCTGATCCGTTTGGAGAATTCCGGAAAGGAAACCCAACTCTTGGTATAGGTTTGGTAGTGTACCTATCCTGCCCTAGCTCGATCGAGACGAGATTGAACTTCTTTTTGGGGAATCCATAAATCTTGCCTTGGTGAATGGCAACTACTTCGTTGGGCTCTGATCCTTTCTCTGTATGTGTGTGAATCGTCCATTCAGTGTCACCATGTCGCCAAAGCATTGCAAAGGCAACGACATACTTGTTCACCTCCCTTTGATCTTCATCCTCCCCACTCCATTCATCACTTTCTAATTCCCGATCCCTCTCAATTTCACCAAAGACCATCACCGAAAATTGGGAGTCGCTCTCAGAGGAATGAAGCACAACGGCCAAGCAGGTGAAGCTTCTTTCCCAAGTCGGCAGCAGGGTTTCATTCATCGATACCGGGTCCAATAGAGAACACCTACGAGCCTCGACGTCCATCAATACTAACATACCGTAAATACTGCTGTATACTTTCTTCCCTCTGGTTCTTGCAGCTAGCTCAACCTTGATCGAATGGTTGGCTGTTGGCCACTCAGCTAAGTCGACCAACATTTCTTCCCCTTGTTGGTTAGACATAGCCAGAAATGGTTGTGCTTCTCGATGATTCTTCTTCTCAACATCATCTAATTTCATCTCCTTGTGCCCCCCCGATGCATCACTTGACAATAAGACGGTCAAGCTCCGAATTACGTAATGTGGATGGATAATACGATGATGCTGGTCTGCTTCTACATCTCCTCTGTTCTTCTTCTTCGGCTTCTTGTTGAGTTTCGAAGACCAACGTAGCTGTGGGCGAGAAAGAAACTGGAAATTCGGGATCATCCAAGCACGATTCAGCATGAGCTTCGTGTTGTACAAGTCGATGGATGGATGCCCCGGTTCGAAAGAGTGGAACTGTTGAGTTGCCATGGAGTAAAACACGTGGTGTCGGCGGCTTCCACACAACATTGGGAAGTGAATTGTGTTCTCCAGTCCTTTGTGGTGTGCCTCGTCACAAGTTACTGCTAGGCACCCCGTGACACCGACGAAAATCGCCTGATCTTTAAGATCGTAAACAATCCGCCATCGTCTAGTGGGTTTGTAGAACCTAAAGATCCTCACGAATTCTCCCATCGAATCGACCACGATCGATATCAGTTCTCCCCTGCATTCCACTAGATAAGGCATGTTGCGCGGGTCGTCCATGAAAAAATTGAGACTAGTAGGCCTCGTATCGAGGAGCCTCCACATCTTGTTTCGCCTCTTCTCCTTGAGATCGAGAACTCCCAGCCTTCCATTCTGGGCCAAACAGTAGAAAGCACCGTTGTGAAAAACAGGGGCAGAATTCGAATTGGGCCACCAAAAGTTCCCCACCGAGGGGAACTTTTGCATATTCACTTGGCAGGGATCGGATTTAACCCTACTCGTCCTCCCGTTTTTGCTTGCGACTAACTTGTCGGCACGATCATTGTTCCATCTCATCATGTTTCCAACACCGACGCAGAGGTCCCAAGAACGTTGCCCTCGTCGGATCAATGCGAAATTGACCTTCTTAGTGGAGAGCACATCTTCGAGGCAGAACACCACGCACTCCGAGGACGTAGGTGGAGCCGAGAAACCCATTCGTCTGAACCGAAGCTTCGATCCGGTAGCTGGCAGGTCGATGGTTTCGTCTGTGGATGGATGGTAGAAGAACATGGGGCCGCCGCCGCCGCCTCTGGACAAGAGCAGCCATCCGTAGTTGGAGCAGTGGACTTGGGCGCCGAGGAGTTCGGATCTAGCAGATACGTAGTATGAAGTGTTGTAAGCGGGAGAGTAAGCTTCGCAGCAGCCGCTTCTGGAGAAACCCAATAAGAATGGGGAATCGACTTTCTTGTAGATGGCGGCATCGAAAACAGCTCTGAAATTCCAGCTGCGACAAGTGGCTCTGAAGTTGGAATAATCCCTCTTGAAAAGCTTCTGCCGTATCAGATTCAAAACCTCCTCAGGGAGTTCAGCCCACGATGTTGAACTTGAACAGCTCATCTTCTTCCCTTATATCTCAACAAAAATGGAGGAGGGCTTGGTGGTAATGATAAGAACAATATGTAAAAGGCCTTCAGGTATCTAATCTTGTGGCTTAGGAGGACAACTTATATATATCCCGGCTCCTTGTCTGCTTCGGAAAAGAAAAAGGTTAGTTAAAGGAGAAAGTCAGGGCGGGAAAGGTTGACTCTGGCTCTCGACTCCCACTGAGTCTTTTCCGTTTTCCTTGCGAGAGGTGAAGATATAATAATGGTTGGGTTGGGTTGGGTTGGGTTACTTGGGTTACTTGTACGACAAGGAAATGGATTTATTATGCCCTAATGAGAGGGAGAACGAAAGTCAACTCAAGTTCGCACATACTTGTCATAGTTTGTGTACTGTTAACACACGACTATTAGGAAAAATAAGTTCTGATACAATGTTAAGGACCAGTTGATTTGAATAACTCAATTTATTGGGAGAGGTACAGTTAATATACCAAATCAGAATGTGCAATTTAATTTTGGAAATTTCAAATTGATCCATTCTGAAGTAATGGTAATTGTCAAGGGGAGATAATTCCGACGGCCTAATTTCTAAGTTGCTCCATTTAGACGACCTCTTAGTAAGTACAAAAAATGTGTAATGGTCAAATCCGAACCAAACCATGATAGGCGTAGTCAAATAGTAAAAGAATTTTGAGGATGATAACTGGTCATCACTGCATTCAGTCTGGTTGGACATGTGCATCTAGTATTGTGAAGATTTCAAATTCATATATGGTGGTTTTATTTTTTGACGGATGTAATAAGCTGTATATGATCTATAATTCAACATCTTCGAACAAATCAAGTTATTTAATATAAAATTCACAAGGAGATATTTAATTTGTGAAAAATTTCGAGTTGCTCCGTTTTGAAGGTATGGTAATTGTATGTGGGTGATAATTTCAATTGGGCGATAAATCCAATAGTCTAATTTCTAAATTGCTCTAAACGAACCCTTAGTAAGTACAAAAATATGCAATGGCGTTCAATCAGGTACATACCGATAATTACAACCCAATAGTAAAAAACATTTGCGGATAATAATTTGATCATCACTGCATTCGGTTTGGTTGGTCGGATTCAAGTATCAATTCAATCTATCTTTTCAATATTTATAAAAATTTATAGTATCAAAGAGCATATATCGAATTATAATTCGATTTGGTATATATTCCAGACCATATTATTGCATGGCTCTAACAATGAGATTATTGCTTCATTTCTAAATTAAACTTGTCTCATTTTCAGGTACAGTAAACTAACAAAACCAAGAAAATAAAGTCCGCATTAAATCCGGTCCAAGAAATGCAAATGCAAAATTACCGAATGCACACATAAAGCAATTTACCGGACCTCTTGTACATCATAATAAGTCATAACAAGTGAAGCCACAATTCAGTTCCCCATCGCGTCCTGATTTAACTTTCCCCAAGTCTCCAGCAGAACAATCCTCAAGCTCACAGCCATGGCGCCGAAGCAAGTTAAATCAGCAGCCGTGGCGCCGAAGCAAGCCAAACCGCAGAAGGAAGGACAGAAGGAAGACTGCCGCCCTCCTAAGAAGTACGGACGGGAAGCTATGGAAGCCAACAAGAAGAAGGCTAGTCACGCCACGAAGAATAAGAACAACGAGAAGAAGCCAATCACTCTCAGGCGTACCGAGAAAGGGACCTCCGGAAATGCGACGCCTTCTGAAGACGGGTAAGAAATGATGAGATTGTGCATTTTTTTACTTTGACTCGAGTGGTTGGTAGCACTGTAGCATCTCTGTTTTTTGCTCGTCCCTTTCTGCTTTGCATGTTTCTCATTTGCTTGGGAGTTATTTGATCGATCACACACCATGCACACAAAGTGTTTGGTGAAAAGCTCAAGTGAAAATAACTTAGTAAATGAAGGTCTTAATTACAAATTTGGCATCTGACCATTGCTTGTCTAATGTAAATGGTTTGAATTTACTTATTTGCTTGGGGATTACTTATCATCACACACCATGCGCACAAGGTGTTTGTTAAAAAGTTCCAATGAAAACCAACTTAGCAAATGAATCTGAGTATTGCTTGTCTAGGTTTAAATTTTTACTTAATTGCATGCATACCAAGTGTTTGTGAGAAAGCGCCCATGAACTTATAGTTTCCAATTTATTGTTATATATAGGGAAGTGGCAGAGCTCGAAGAAGCAAATTAACAGCAACGAACTTGAATGGAAACTATAATGGGTAAGTATATATTAATGTAATCTTATATTCTTCTTCCTCGTTACCTGGATTCCATTTTCATGTATATTTTGTGGTTGGATTATATTTTCTAACACAGGTGTTGAGCTCGCTGGATGGGGGGACCAAAGGAACAGAAATTTGTGGTTTCGTTTTTTTGTTGGACACTTAATATGACACTTAATTTTTGGGTTGGGTGAATATGATTTGTGGGGGTTAATCGAATGTTTAATCTTTTGATACAATTTAGTCGTCAAAGCTAGATCTAAACATAGAACAAGACCCGACATGTTTAATTTTTTGATCTACTAGAAATAACCCATACAAAATACATGTCAAAGCTAGATCTAAACATAGAACAAGACCCGACATGTTTAATTTTTTGATCTACAAGAAATAATCCATACAAAATACGCGTCAAAGCTAGACCTAAACATAGAACAATCATCTATACACCTATCTATCTCTATGTCGTTCCAATTTAATCGAAGGTCCCCAAAGAGGCTAGATCTAACTATCTATTTCGAATAAAAACCCTAAATACATGTTGCATACCCTTTCCTTTACAAACTTGAGCAGTGTTTTAAAATGAAATAACAACAAGAAAACTCCATTATAATCGTACAACAATTTAACCAACCTTCAAATTCATACAACAGAAGCGGAGGCGGCCGGGAAGAGGAGGGCGGACCTGTTCGTGTTTCCGACCACATAGATCAAAGCGGGGGAGATCGAGAAGCAATATATTGGGTTCCCGACGATCATATGTGACAAAAGGAGAGGGGCGGACTGCGGCGGTGTGAGGGTACCGGCTGGCGGCTGCGTCACAGGAGAATGGAAATTGATGACAGAGTCACAGAGAAGAGCCGAATGTAGAGAGCGAGAGAGAGATAGGGTTTTTTTTTTTTTTTTTTAGGTTTAACTATTAGGTTTAGAATCTGTTAGGGGTGCTGAGTAGAATTGTAGGTTTAACTTATTTATTTCCATAGATGAGATAGGTTTAGGATTATAGAGAAAGGAAGACAATAGTTGAGCGGCCATTTAATAGAATCGCTGGACGAGTTGATATCTTTTACCCCATCCGCGAAACCAGGAAAAGTATTTATTGTTAATATACGTTTAATATTTTAACGGTTTACTTCTTTCCATACCTATTTGCATAGATTTGGATTTGGACCCACACCTATTTGCAAATTACAGGTTGGTACCTAATCTTAAATAGATGTCTAGAATTAATATCTAAATTTATTATTTTTTTGCATATAAATCCTCAAAATATTTATGAAAAAATACATTTTAACACCTAAAATTTTGTGTATTAGAGGGAGTTCCTCCAACCAGCTAGCGGTATTACGTAGAAAAACGCGGCCGTCCAGAATAATGTGCTTGATTTTCTTACAATAAACGCAAAGATATTACGTACTCGGAAATCCTATTGAAGATGTCTTTTCGCGTTATAATGATAACATATCCAAAGAATTGGCTTCAGACTTGTACCATTGGGAACACCAAGAAGGTCTTTGTCTTCTACTCAAACTCTGGAGCCAAAACTCCCAAGAGAGTATAATTCTTCGTATTGAGGTGAACGGAAAGCCTCTTAGATTCTACGGATATAAGCTCTGATACCATGTCAAGAACCATTACGTCTCAATAACTCGAGTTATTAGAAGATGTTCAACTATAAATCATGTATCACTTATTAACACACCCTCTCAAACGAAATTAACTCAAAATAATTTGAAATTTGCACATAAATCAAAATAGCATATATGCTTAAAACATTTAGTCTTTAGCTTTTACCCAAAATTTACCAAACGAGTTCAAATCCTAGTCGGGTTCGGTATGTGCAATGCAAGCAACTCTTAGCAAGGTTCTGTTTTGTTTTGTTTTTGTTTTTGTCTTTTTTGGTGAAAATAGGGCAAGGTTTTGTGTACATACGAATTACGAACAGTTAACTTCTTATTTATACTAGCGCACGCAAATTAATCGACTCAGCGTGGGAGCTACGAATCGTCTCTCTCGACCGAATGGCAGCTACCACCACCACATCATCATCGCCGGCGGCGGAGGAGACGGCAGCAAGAGAGTGGGCGTGGCTCCCCTGCAACGTCCTCGACTCTGTACTTTCCCACCTCATCTCCTTACAAGACTACCTCCGATTCACCTCCGTGTGCCAGCCGTGGAATTCAACAGCCCAAGCCCAAATACGACGCCGCATCGCCACCAGCCAGAACCAACCTCCCCTGTTATTGGTCCCGACACAGAACCGCAGCTGCCGGCGGCGAATTCTATACAGCGTCACGGCAAACAAGCTCCTAATTAACCACACCCTCCAAATCCCTTACCACAGAAGGTGCTGTGGTTCCTCCCACGGCTGGCTCGCCTTCTTGGGGAAGGACTATTTCGTCACCCTCTACAACCCTTTCACCAAAGCTCGAATCTTTCTCCCCCAAATTCTCCCGTCCCCTGACTGCATCAAAACGTCCGCCGATCGCGCCAAGTACGATCGGCGTCAGGAAATTGATCCTATCGGCCGACCCTTCCATATCCCCCGACGGCGATTTCATCGTCGCCGCTGTTCTCGGCGAGTTTGGAACTCTGGCCGTGATGGGAGCAGGGGAGAAAGAATGGAAGCACGTTAAAAAGGACAAAATGTACCCTGTGACGGGCGGCGGGGGGCTAAAAGACATCGTATTTCGCGGTGATCACGGCACTACAACTTGGGTTTACGGGTCCGGGTCTAGCGGATCGATTGTGCGGGTGAATGTGACGAAATCCGGTTAGGAACAACAACTTCGACCGGAGTTGGTGGCTCCGCCGTGGGTTGAATCTCGAGCGTGCGTGTACAAATACTTGGTGGAATCGTCGGACGGTCGAGATCTGCTCATGGTTTTCCGATTCTACGAGGAGATGGAAGGGTACGAGCTTTCCATGGCCACCAGGAGCTTCAAGGTATTCAAGCTTCGAGACGACGAGGAGGGAGATCGCGGGGTGAGTTCGCGGTTTGTGGAGGTGAAGGATTTGAATGGGGATGCGGTGTTTGTTGGGGGATAATTACTCGACTGCGGTTCGAGCCCGAGAAATTCGAGGGTGTTCGGTCTGATTCGGTTTATTACACGGACGATTTTTCGGAGTTTAATTTCCCTGATGTTAATTTAGGACCGCATGATGTAGGAGTGTTCAATGTGAAGGAGAAGAAATTTGGTTCATTTTATGTTCCTACTCCGACTCAGAACCGAGACATGCCGCCTCCAATTTGGATTTTTCCTGCCATAGCTCCGGACATGGATTAGTTTAATTAGCAAAACAGAGCATTGATAGTTAGATTAGCATTAAAAAACAAAACATCGTTTTATGTATGTATCCTTAGTTTATTGTGCATTTTGATTTTGCAATATTCTTAGTCGCACTAATTTGGATTCGAGAATAATACCATATGATAGAAGCACTATTTCTTCAATCAATTTTTCACTTCTTTCAATTCGATCAACTCGTGCATAAGAATATAAGATGATATATATGCTTTGGAGTAGAGTTGTGGCTTCAAGATCATGATCATAGTCGATCCTCTTGTCCTTAATTAAAAACAATATATATCTCCTTATATTTTTCATGCACAAGATGGACTTGTGTTTCTTTGCTTCACTTCAAGCAATATAACAAATTAGATAACCCGACCCACATATGTTAGGGGTGGATTTCGATTACCAGTTACCAGTCAACCGACCGGTTAAACCAATAACCGGCCGGTTATCCACTAACCGGTAATCGATATAGTCGAAATTCGGTCGGTTATCAGAGGCTGGTCGAGATGGTTTAATCTTGGAGGTGGTACAGTTATCCGATAACCGAAGCCTATTTCGGTCGATTGTCGGTTGGGGGCGCGGCCTTTCGCTTAACTGATCGATCGGTTACCGGTTACAACCGAAAGTAACCGACCGCCACCCTTAACATATGCTATATGTGTTCTAAAACCCATAAGCAATCCTTTGAACCAAAAAACTACTACTACGATATAAATCACACACATAGGACAACCATGTAGACACCCAAAGCCAATACCACTTATGAATGAGGCTTCTTTCTGGAAATTTTTGCTATAAAACACTAGACTAAAACAAGCCATTCAAAGTTACCAACAAGTGAGTTAGCTCATGTCTAATCCTAGTATTATATATTACAAGGTTGTTGAAAGGAACCTACGATTACCTTAAATCTGCACCAACAATTGGTGTTTTCTTTCATGCCAATGGTACTCTTCAACTCAGAGCCTTTAGCCATTCACTGATTCTGATTGGACAGCTTGTGTTGCCACCAGACGTTCTATGTCTGGGTATTGTGTCTATCTTCAAGACTCCATTATCTCTTGGAAAAGCAAAAGGCGGAAAATTGTCAGTCGTTCTTCCTATGAAGTAGAGTACATAGCTCTTGCTTTCAGAGCCTGTGAGCTACTACAATGGCTCATGTTTCTACTTAATGATTTCAAGGTCACCCACTCTCAACCAGCTACTCTCTATTGTGGTAATCAAAGTGCTATATATATTGCAGAGAACCTCACCTTCCATGAACGCACGAAGCATATCAAACTCGACTGCTATCTCGTTCATGAAAAACTGCAAGCCAAAGTAATCAAGCTGCTCCATGTCTCCTCTTCTCATCAATTGGGCGATTTGTTCACCAAACCTATCTCCTGTCCCAATTTTGCTACCTCTTCTCCAAACTTGGTGTGCACAATTTCTGCTCACCAACTACGGGGAGGGCAAATGGGCAACAGAACAAAGCGAATCGAAATTCAAATTTGCAAAGTTACAATCGACTGTTTGTATCGAACCCTCGATGATTGAAAGTGAAGACGAAGAAATGATCACTTGTTGATACACACCGTTTTGCTGTGCGATGTCGTTTTGTTCTATTTTAAGTCGTGGTTTGCTTTTCCGTGCTTCATGCTTCATGCTAAGTTTGTAATGCTTCATGCTTCGGCCAAGTTTGTAATGCTTTATGCTTCATGTTAAAGAAAGAACACTACAAAAAGGGCTGCTGGCCATGGTTGTCATGTAGTGGTTCAGTTGCATATATATATACTAAGAGATTAATGAGAAAAGATCAGACCTCAAGGTTTCACAACAATTAAAATTTGTTACTCCGTCTTAAATCTAATTTATTTTCCGTGCCACTAACTGATTCTTGACACAAACATCGCAAGTGTAGTCATTCTCATTCTACATCAATCATACCTAAGGAGAATCGTCAATCTTCATTTCAGTTTCTACTTTGCCCATTTGATAAATGTAAAAAGTCAATTACTGGAGGAAAAGGCAATTAGCTAAAGGCAAACATCGGCCGGAATCGAGAACAATCGGCGAGCAAACATAACAAGGTAGAACAAGTAAAACCAACGCAAGCTCCGGCCCCACACATCCCCTTTTATCCAGAAAAAAAAAAATTAGAAATCGTCGTCGTCGTATCCCAAGTCATCCTCCACCTTCTCCGCCGCGTCGTCGGCGATCTTATCCTCCAAAGCATCGAACCCTTCCACCAATGCGATTCCACCCAGAGCTCCCGCCACCGCGCCCACAGCCAATCCTGCCCCCATCCCGCCGAACTTACCTTTCTTCTTCTCCTCCTGCACATACCCCGTTTGATTCTGCCCGTACCCACTTCCGTAGCTCGGCTGCCCGTACGCCGCAGTCGGCGGAGGAGCACCGTACCCGCCGCCGCTTCCGTACGCCGCCAGGTACCCGCTTGGCGGTGGAGCCGCGGCGGCGTAGTAAGGCTGGGGAACCGGTGCCCCGTACCCGTAATTAGGCGGTCCCCCGTATGGCGCCCCGTAACCCGCTGGAGGACCCGGCGCGTAAGGATCACGCGAACCGGGATGACCAGGAGCGTAAGGGTCACGCGACCCGGGAACTCCGTATCCATAAGGGGGCGCGTAGCGCGCGTCGGGCGCCTGGTAAATCGGCTCCCTCACCGCGACCTTCACCTCCACTTTCCCCTGGGGCCTGCCGGAAGGGCGCTTGAGGGTCAACGATCGCTTGACCCGCTCCCCGCTGACACCGCCGGCCTCGTCGATGACGTCACGGAGCGGGAGCTTGGCCGATCCGATGAGCGGCTTGGTGTCCTCCTCCCGACCGGCGTGGACGACGTCGATGTGGAGCGTGAGCGCGTCGATCGGGCCCGGCGGGAGCGGGATGACGAGGGTGTGGTCCCACAGGGGGGAATTGTCGCCTTCCTCGTCGACCCGGGTGGACGATTTCTGGTTCGGGTCGACCCAGACGACGGCGTAAGGGCGGAGCTGGCCGTGGCGCCAGTTGATGTTCTTGAGGTCTTTCGCCGATGAGATCACCACTTCGGCTTCGTAACGGGAACCCATGTTTTTTTTTTTTTAATTTGTGAGAGAGATGATTGGAGAAGGCGAGGAAATGGCGATGGAATTGGTGGGATTTGCTGTGATCTAATGTCACGGCTCTGGTTTTTTTCCTGCTCAGCAATTCGCCGGGGTTTTTATATGGCAAGGAAACGATGGTGAATTACTTGAATACCCGTAGGGTTGGATTCAATTTCTTCCCCGCTTCCGCAGTTCCGCCAATCTACAAGTTGGAAAAAAAAGGGATAATTAGTGCCCTAACGGCTCTCCCAATGGATAGTTACTTACTAGTTAGTGCCCTAGTCGCTCTAAATACGTATTATTCTATATTATGGAGATTATAATTGAATTTTGTTAATTGATATTATAAATTACGAGATTAAGATTGTTGTATACCGGAAGATTGAGAAATACAAAATATTAGAGATTGGAATTGGGATACCGAATTTATCTTGGGATAGCACTATTTGATATCGTGATTTCGATATTTGGTACTGGGATATTGATGTCGTATCGATTTCTACCCCTACTCACTACATACGGAACGACTAGGGGATATTTTAGCAAGCACGTTATTTATCCAACAAAAATTCAATATATGTTTATCTACATTATATTGTATTTCTCGATTTATTTGATTATAAAGAATACGTGCATTTTGTAACTTATGTAAATTCATAATACATGCTAATCTATATTGTTTAATGTTTTGAAGCATGTGTGAGGAACTGGTAGGAAAGAATCGATTGAAGGCGTGATAATATCACTCTCCTTAGAGTGTTATTTGCATGGTAAAGGAAACCGTACCGGAAGTCATATCGGCTCCGCTAGTGGTAGGGTATTTTGTGGTACTACCGTGGTTCAACCGTTGTGTACCGGCAAAATACCGTTTTTGTAATTAAATAATATTTTTTTTGTTAAAAAACCGTACCGGCAGATTTGTGATACCATTTCGGAATATTACCGGAATATACCGGATAACAAACCTGAATAAACTAAATAAGCATATGTAATATAAAATTCAACAAACTGCAACATTATTGAATTAACTACATAATCGTTCAAATGCTGTTGACTGCAACATTACTGAATTAACTACATATTCAGAGCGTAGAGAGAGCGTCATTATTATATTATAATTAATTTTTTATTTTAATATAACTATAAAATATTATGCAATATAATAATTAAAATACACGAATATAATGTAATGACTAAGAAATTTGATGACTGATTTATAATCTAATTTTTAAGTAACATATTAGTAATTACATTTAAGATAAATATATATTTAGCATTAAATAAATTCCTAAACCTAAATCACCATTCCCCACCACACGTGAACCCCCATTTTCCCTTTTGTTTCTTCCGGGCCGCTACTCTCTCTCTCTCTCTCTCTCTCATCAATAACCAGAAGAAATCGTTCCCCCTCTCTGGGCTTGGGGGAGCTTGTAGCTGCATGCGATTGATCGAAGCTTTAGCCTTCCCGGTACCCATATCCAAAGTCGAGCTTTATCCTCTTCTTCTCTATTGTGATTGTGAATTGGAAATTCTTTCAATCCAATTCCAAACCCACTTGTGAATCCCCCTTCACTTTCTTCGTTTTATCTGCTTCCCAAATCGATGGTCCTGGTTTCGCTTTCGATCACCCCGAAGAAATTGCTCAACAGGAAATCATCATCAACAACAACTGGTAGCTTCACAGATCCCGTCGACCTCCTTTGCGTCTCCGCCGATCTCCCCTGTTTCCACCAGCCAGTTGAAGTCTCCGACCTATAGCTTCTCGATCGCCGCTCAACTCTTCCCAGCAGCTTACCCCCGGTTAGACCAAAACCGGGCGGTTTTTTGAATTAAACCGGTTTTACCGGAAAAACCTCCCGGAACGGCTCCTTTACTACAAAACGGCTACCGTATCGGCCAGGCGCCGGTTTCCGGTTTTACCGGTTCAACCGGCCGGTATGATCCGGTTTCCTTTACCATGGTTATTTGCCCCCACTACAAATTTGCCCTTCAATTCTAAGTCTGGAAGCAGCAATCTTGCAGACTTCTATGTTTATGAATTAGAGAAGGAAAACGGGAAGAAGAAGAATTCTCTCATCACTAAAAGAGTTATGACAATCATCTATTTATATTTGTGAAAACTGGAAGCTACCTTCCGAAGAGTCACATCCTTTCACATAAAAAAGGGAGTTATCTTTCTGGAAGGACACTTTTTTTCACAGTATTCAAACGTTAATTAATTAATATAAAATTAATTCATTAATTAAACTGCCAAAAAACTTCATATTTATACTATCTCCCGCCAATGTCGTATTACAACTCTATTGACTAATTCTAACAGTATCATCAGTTCGTCCAATTATTTATGAAATTACAACCAATATTAACAATCTCATATATAAAATACACCAAAATCTTGAATTTCCTTTACTCTAATATCAAATAGCTGATGCGTGGAACTCGGCGAGGGTTAGTTCGGGAAGGTTTGAGGAAGGCCTGATAATGGGCGTGGAACTTGGTGGAAAATGGATTGCTTAAGCACGAACAAGAGTCAGCGAGTGACCGACACGTGGCGGTGGTGGCGGGGAAAATGCGATTTGCGCCGGTGGCCGGAACACGAGAGTGATGACATGATAGATAGGAGTTTCCAAAAGGCAGCGAATATTATTTATTATGCTGCAGGAAAATAAGATGCCTACGCGGTCTAAACGCTGAATAATTTATTAGTAATTAATTAATATATGTAAAAATTATAGTTTGCATCTCCCTAGAGAATGCCTTCCCCGGCGATGCACTGCCCAGTTGTCACGAGGTCTGACCAGAGCTTTGTTTTTTTTGTTGTCCAAGTGTGTAAGTTTTCCAAAATGGTTGGTCTGTTCACTCTGTTGTTGAGAAAAATGGGAGCTTGAACATTAACTTTTTTTTTCCCCTACGTAAGTATTGGTTCAGTTTTTTTGGTAAGAAGATGGGTGCTAAAAGGGCACTCCTGCCTGGCACGTTAAATTAATCTGGTTTAGGCGATGCCTATACAATTATACAGGACCCAAAATGAGAGGCTCGAATCCGAAACACTAAAATCATGAACTCCTAATCTAAGCTCATGGCCACGATTTGCAAGATAGTCAGCCGCCTTGTTGCATTCCCTATAGACACGAGAGATTTTCACTTCCCAATTCCGATTCAAGAGCCTCTGGAATTGTTTGGTGAGAATGAGATACCTTTGGTCCTCTTGATCAGTGGTGGTGAGCAGTTGGAGCGTAGTTGTCGAGCCAATTACCACCATTACTTTTCTGTAGCCATAGTCCCAAGCTCGGTTAAGTCCTTCTTTTAGCCCCTTTATCTCTGCTCTAGTAACAGTACATGCTCCAAGATTTCATGAGAAAGCAACCAGACATCTTCCCATGTGATCTCGAATCAGACCTCCAGTCGCCGCCAAAGCACCAGGCTGTCGAACAGAGCTGTCCGATTGAAGGCTGACCCATCATGACTGCGGTGGTTCCCATGCCAAACTGGTGACTTCTTTCGGTGTTGATTCATCATTTGTGAGTCTATCACTTTCCTGGCTTGTTTCACGATCTTAGTCCAGCTTTTTATTCGTTGAGCGAGGACTCCGACATCGAACGTCTTGTGTTGGAATATGGATTCGTTCCTCTGCTTCCATAATTAAGAAGTATTTTTTTTATCACCTTTGTTACATCATTAATAAATGGAAGGATGAGGACTTACCATTAACTACATTGACAGCAAGGTTGTAATGCAAGTGATTAATGTGTGTAGAAGTCATATTGATATAAGAAACATATAGTGTTCAGATCTAAACGACCCAGCATTGGAGTATATTCTCTAAGTATGGGTACAAGTAAGAGAAAAGTTACAACTAACTTGATGCCCGAGACATCTAATCATAATATATATATATATTGAAATCGCAATGCCTTCTTCTGCATTTTTTTTTACATAATAAGAACATAGATGAAGAATACGGTTGAGTCTGAAATTAATATTAAACAACGATGTTCAATACTTTAAGGACACTCGTGGGATTGGTGGTCCTTCATCAATTATAATGGGATAAATTGTTGAAAATTGATCTGCGTGCCAATCGTGGAATATGTTGCTCTGTTGAATTTTGACATTTCCCTTTTTGCATCTTCTTTTGCTCCATTATTCGTATTCTGTTCTTTTCCCCGTGAAAATGTGACAAAGTTGATGGCTTGAAGGAAGATGCAATCCTACCGCACTGCGGATTTGAATTAAAGCAAGACGGTGACGTTTAAAGAAGGAGAAAGAAGAAGAATGAAGTCGTGAGATAAGAGGAAAACGACAGCGTTGTGTTTATTGTTGTTAGCCGTTAATTTTACTGTTTATTTAAATTTTTATCCAATCATGTAAGGACACGTATTGTAGTTCGTTAATTGAAATGGTAGCTATATAAGCTACAGAGGACTCAGATTACAGCTGAGTTTCCTCTCCCAAAATATCAATTTCTACGAAAGTTGTCAAAACGAAAGAAAAGAACAAGGCATGATGTATAGTGGACTGGATCCTAGTTCGAAGAAGCCCGTTCTCAGCCCAATGTGGACAGCGGGCCGAGCCTGCCAATACAAATCAAGGCCCAGCCAGAGCCCGAAATCTCCTGAACCGTTTTTCCCCCAACTAAAACCCTGCCAAAAAAAATCCGAGCTTCCTTTCCTGCCTTCTACTCTCTGACTCTCTCCGATCGTCTTCCACGATGCTGTCTCTAGTAGGGCTGGGAATCCAGACCAAACCGTATGGGAAACCGCGGTCTAGACCGTATCTTATGGTTTGGTCTGGACCGTGAGATCAGGACTATGGTCTGGTCTGGTTTGCGGTCTCTTCCTTTAGTGCGTGGTCTGAAGTGGTCTGGACCGCGGTCTACCGCAGTAAACCGTAACAGACCGCGACACACTACCTACTACCTTGGACAAAAATAACACTAAATTGAACCTCCATATGTGTATTTGAAGAACAAAATTAGTTGATTCTTCATCTAGTTGAGAGCCAACAAATTGCAAAATGATCGCTTATATGTTATCTCCTTATCAAAGTACCACACAAAAATTAGAAAGACTCATAAATAATATTCACAGATAATGTCTAGACTATGGAGTCGATAAAAATTAAACACTACAAAAAAATTCGTTCACCTTGATGAGATAAGGAAAATTATTGAGAGATATGCGACCATCTTAGTGGTTCGAAATTACCTCGACGTCATCAAAAAGGTTATCAACTAGGAGAACCTTTAGATCACTCGAGAGAGGAGAGAAGCGGTAGCACAAAGAGGAATAGGGAAATAAGGCTATTTGAAAATTGAAAAACCTACTTCTATCCTCATATTTCTTCTCATTTAATACGATCACAATTTTTTTGTTTCACTAGCATATTGGTCACTAGATTTTTTTATAGATACAGTTGAAGGGTTGGAAGGCGAACAAGAGTTAATTTTTTTTAACATGGTCTGTCTGGTCCAGACCATACCGGACCGCACCGCACAGGTGTGGTCTGGACCGTACAGTATATGGTCTGGTCCATGGTCTGTGTTCCAACCTCTCGATCTGGACCACAGACCGTATCTATGTTCTGGTCTGGACCGGACCGCACCGTTTCCCACCCCTAGTCTCTAGGGGTGAACAAACACACCCGCAAATCGACCCACCCGTCCAACCCGACCCAACCCACCCGTATTTGTCGCTAAATCGAAGGTTTTGGGTTGGGTGAGGGTTTCCTTTTGTACAACCCGCCTCATTTGGGTTGGGTTTGGATTTTAGATTACACAACCCGTAGAACCCGACCCAACCCGTGTTCCAATTATTGGTATGAGTTCGTATCCAAAAAAATATTTATGTCGTATATAGTCATACTTATGAGAAAATTAAGATATTTCGCCATGTTTTTCTATTAAAGTCTCACTAATCTAATGCATTCTTCGACTTAAAGTTTAGACATATATTTAATATAGCTATGATTCACGTATTTTTTTTTCTTGTGTACAATTTTAAAAGAATATCATATTATGGATGCGTTCATTTGTAACCTTTTTAGCCTATTTCAACAAATGGCATGAAAAAAACTAGACATAAGTTGAAGTAAATCAAGTTTTATTAAAATTCAAATAATATTTGTGAATTTTGATACCTTTCACCTCGGTTTATTCGTTTGAATTTTTAATTTTTTATAAAATATTTTTATGATGTAGAATAATTACATATTTTGTGTTGGGTTGGGTTTTTACTTAAAAATATCGCCGACCCTACCCAACCCAATTAGAAACAAACCGTAGGGTTTAGATTTTTTTGGGTGGGTTTGGGTTTAATATTTCCCAAACCGTAGTGCATGGGTCGGGTGATTAAAATGCCTAAACCCGGACCACCCGACCCATGTACACCCCTAGCTGTCTCGACTCCTTCCTAAACCCTCACAGCTCCGGCGTCTCACCAATCTCTACCCAAAACCCCAATCCTCTTCTCCTCTCCCGCCTCGCCCTCCTACTTCCAGCTTCACTACATTCTTCCGCCCTCTTTCCACCGGCGGCAACAATGACAACGACGGCACCGGCAAGGGCGGCAGCTCCGCCTCCGACCTCTGGAAGCTTTCGTCAGACACCAGCGGCGGGTTCTCCGATCCGTTCTTCAGCGAATATACCGGCGGAGACGGAGGCGACTTGCAGGGGATATCAGACGCTCCGGAACCGAAGGCGGCAGCTGTCGAGAAGTGGGCAATCGTGGATGGGGAAGGCGTGAGTGCCGGTGGGGACGTTTTCGGGCAAATTGAGAGCGATGCGGGCTCGGCAGCTGGGGCGAACAATTGGGGGCCGTCAAAGGATTTCATGCCGTGGTACTTGAAGAACGCTGCGGGAGAGGAGAAGAGCGAGATATTTGATCCGGGCTCGGTGTTTGGGGCTGAGAGCAGGACGGGTATTAGTTTGAAAGAGGAGATTGAGAAGAGAGAGGAAGAGATGAAGAAGCTGGAATTGGAAGAGGAGAACCTCACCACCATTTTGAAAAAAGGCAAGCTTTAGGATAAATTTCGTTGTGCTTTAGTCGCCATTTCTGTAGGGTTTGGTAATAGCAAATGTTGTACTTGCTGCAGGTCCGAATCGTGCATTTGGTGATCTCATTGCGGAATCTGGAATCACGGATGAAATGTTGGACAGTTTGATTGCACTGAAGGACTTCGAAGGGGTTGAAGGGTTGCCCACATTGGGGGAGATAGAGGATATTCGATATGAAAAGAGTAGGAGGAAATCCACGAGAGCTGAAATGGAAAGGCAGAAGCAGGAGGAAATTACCAAGGCGAGGGTGAGACAAGTGGACGACAAAGGGAGAGCTTATGGAACAGGGAGAAGGAAATGCAGCATTGCCCGTGTATGGATCCAGCCCGGGGAGGGGAACTTCAGTGTGAATGAGAAACAATTCGATGTCTATTTCCCGATGCTCGATCATCGTGCTGCACTTCTGCGGCCTTTCTCGGAGACAAAGACTCTGGGTATTTGGGACATCGACTGTACTGTCAAAGGAGGTGGTGTTTCAGGTGAGTTCAAAGGTTTTCTCAACCTGTATGGATATGAAAAGTTGTATGGTCTTGATTGCTAAACATGATGGCATGCTATGTTTTCTATCTGATTCCATAATCACTATCTCTAGTTACTTGGTTTCTTCCTATGTCAAGAAACATTTAAACTCGGTTTGCACATTTTTGGTGTCTAGAAAATTGAAGGAGATTGCCTCATAGTATTGTTCAATCACCCACTTTATCACATAGGTTGAGATCAGAAGGACAGGCCTCATGTCTTTTTCGATCAATATAAGCTTGTGAGTTGTGGTGAGTGCTAGGGAATAGATTTCATTACTTCTCAGGAAGTGTCTACAAGTCGTTGAGACTTGAGAGCATCATTCAGGTGGTAGTAGGAGTTGTATCGTTGATGTTTTCCGCCCCAAGCGTTTAAGCTGATCAATTTATGCTCACCTTGTCATATCGACTAAAACACAGGTCAAGTTGGAGCTATTCAGTTGGGTATAAGCCGAGCATTGCAAAACTGGGAACCTGACTATCGGCCTCCACTCAGAAATGGTATGTTGTCTATGCAAGTTTCACTATGTTCTTTACTCAAATGAATTTATCCCATCTCCCGCATGATGCAAATTATTAGGTACCATTCTATCTACAGTTAGGATATGGGGATTAACACGAGTACACGACTTGAATACGAAAAGTATAATATCCACTCTTATCTACTACTACCAGTCCCCATCTTGATTCCTTCTTTATGGTGATGTTTGGCAGCCGGTTTCTTGACAAGGGACTCACGTGTGGTTGAAAGAAAGAAACCTGGCAAAGCAAAAGCAAGGAAGAGCTTCCAATGGGTCAAGCGTTGATGGGTTGTTTCCAAGCTTTGCTGTTTTTGGTTAAATTGCAGACAAGCTCAAGCCTTTAGAAGCTGAGGAAGCCGCAATTTGATGGTGCTCAACTGTCTATGAGAACAAGCTTCTAGCAGTCGTTCAGTCGAAAGCTTTTAGTTGCAATTGCTTGAAACGTCCAGGGATAAAACGTCAGAATGAACGCCTGGGGAAAAAAAAGCAGATGTCATTTTGTTTTATCCATATTTGTAGTGTGATTGTTGGGAGATCCCTTCATTATTTCCTCGTAGGAGTTGAGATAGAAAAGAGTTGTAATTTACTTCCAGAATTCCAGGTTTTGCTCAATTGCTGACCAATAATATACTGCTTGCTTGTTTGTGTCATTTCAGCAGCCACAATTAACGAGGTTGCTTACAGCCTTGCGCTATGGATGGATGATCCTTTCTCTAACATGGTGAATTTCCTCCCTTTAGATTCAATCAAGTTTGGGTTTGCTACGGGTGAAAGAAGAAGGTTTCAAATTGATTAATGTGTAAAAATGGAGGTCCAGAATGGGTATATTACCTAACCTAGGTAAGTGGGCCGAGATGGAACCTCCTTCTGATCGTTATGGGCTTTACCTGCGTGGGCCGCTTCTGTAACAGAGTCGAAGCCCAAGTAGTCCACGACCTGCAATGCAAGACAAAAAAACCGCGGATAAACGCAACTTGCTTCTTTGCTCTCCGCCATTTAAACCCTAGAAACTAAAACCCTAAATATTCCATCAGCTATAAGAGCCTCGTCCGCCACATAATTCACAAGCTCACGAAACTACGCCTCAATTTCCCACCTTAACTGTTCTTAGTCGAGCTGCAATGGCGCCTCCAAGAGGTAAAGTTCTCGTTTTTTCTATGGTTTCATCATCTTCCCGCTATTTAGTTGAGTTCAGCTCTTTACCGAGCTCAGTTCGTGGTTTCCTTGTTTTGAATTGGAGGGAAATTAAGTTTTCTTTTTCTCGTTTTCTAACAACCAGGAAGATCTGGTGGGTTTAGAGGAGGAAGGGGCGGTGATAGTGGAGGCCGAGGAAGGGGCGGCGGCGGCCGTGGCGGCGGCAGATTCGGCGACCGTGGTGGGAGCGGGATGAAGCCCCGTGGCGGAGGTCGCGGCGGTTTCGGAGGCCGTGGTGGTGGAAGGGGTCGCGGCGGCGGCCGCGGCGGAGGCGGAATGAAAGGTGGGAGCAAAGTTGTGGTTGAGCCTCATAGACATGAAGGAGTTTTTATTGCCAAGGGAAAAGAAGATGCCCTTGTGACAAAGAATCTTGTTCCTGGCGAGGCTGTCTACAATGAGAAGAGGGTCTCGGTGCAGGTCAGTTTCTAAGTCTTTTCCAACTTACTTATAATTATTTGACCAAATTGTTAGTTTTTGTTCTAAAGGTTCGATCTTTTATGTTTTTTTTTTACCACAGAATGAAGATGGAACTAAGGTTGAGTACAGGGTCTGGAACCCCTTCAGGTCGAAGTTGGCAGCTGCAATCCTTGGTGGTGTTGATAATATCTGGATTGTAAGCAACTGTTTACTGCTTCTATTTGATTTGATTATCCATTTTGATCTGGGTTGCTTATGAACCGGTACTGATTTAAGCTGGTGTTGTTTAATGATGGCAGAAACCAGGTGCCAAGGTTCTGTACCTTGGAGCTGCATCAGGAACTACCGTTTCTCACGTGTCTGATCTTGTTGGCCCCGTAAGACTTTTTATTGAACGGGTTTCTAGTATCAATAGCTCATTTATCACTTAGTTTGCTTATGAAATGTGTGGTTTTCTGCAGACTGGGGTGGTTTATGCAGTGGAGTTTTCTCACAGAAGTGGTAGGGATTTAGTGAACATGGCTAAAAAGCGCACAAATGTTATCCCCATCATTGAAGATGCTAGGCATCCAGCCAAGTACCGTATGCTAGTAGGAATGGTTGATGTCATATTTTCTGATGTTGCTCAGCCTGATCAGGTTTGCCTTTCTTTTTCGTGTGTTTCAATATCTACATGGTTCACGTTTGGGAACCATTTGAGAGACCTTTTATATGACTTTACATATTTCTATGTCGGCTGTTTTATGCTTCAAGTGTCCTGGTGTTTGCTGTTCTTATTTGGCATATCTTGGCTCAGATGTTTTTTTAAAAACCAAGTCTTTCTTTTGGTTTTCGGTCTGTGAGGTATTTTCTACTTGCATATGAAGAGACTTCACTCGGATTCCCCTTCACGACTTTTGGAGTGATGAAAACACGAGTTTCTGATGCTATCTCAGTAGTTATATCTATTCTATTTGACAATCCATTTTCTATGTTGTCTATGTTTCCAATGACTGTAATGTTGTGAACTTGTAATCCTGCATATGACGAAGGACTCGGATTCCCCTTCTGTACATCTTAAGTGATGCAAGGTCCGAGTTTCTGATGCTGAAAAGGGATCGTTCTATTACAAAGTCAGTTCTTTATGATCAGCAACTTCTTTACTGTTTATAGATACATTTGTTTTTTTTTCTCTGCTATAAGTTTGTATCCCCATTTGCTAGCTTACACATCTATGCTGGTAGCCCAACTTTTGTAAATGTTGGTTGCTACAAGGTAATACTTGTCTCGGCCTACTTCATGTTTTGAATCTTCTACAAATGTTTATAACACTTTGCTGTCTCGTGGGGGTGCTAGTATATGGTGTGCTCTCACCGAGACAAATTTCTACTGATAAAGGTAGTTTAAGCCTTGTAGATTTATTGTTTCATGGTCTATTTAATTTGAATATGCAGGCTAGGATTCTAGCACTGAATGCATCCTACTTCTTGAAGGCTGGTGGTCACTTTGTCATCTCTATCAAGGTTAGTTCTGATGACGATAAGTCTTTTCCTGCCAGCTCGAATACCCTACAACTAATCATGCACATGAACTGACAATAATGTAACCTTTCATTGTTGATTCAGGCAAACTGTATCGACTCCACCGTGCCAGCTGAGGCTGTGTTTGAGAGCGAAGTGAAGAAGATGACGCAGGAGCAGTTCAAGCCTGCCGAGCAGGTGACACTGGAGCCATTTGAGAGAGACCATGCTTGTGTCATTGGTGCCTACCGAGTGCCCAAAAAGCAGAAGGCTTGAAGTGTTTTTGGTTCAACTGTGCCCTATTTTAATATTGGGGGATTGTTTTGAGGACATTGTAGCTTAGGTATTAGCTTGGATTCCCCCCTTGTTGGTTGGGGGCTTGTATCTGTATAACTCATTGCTCTTTTAATGCGAGTCATAATTTTTCTGGGATGAAATGCTGCTCTGCCGGTATGCTGCTTTGCTCTAATGTGAAAATATGATTCAAGGAAAGTGAAACAGATGCAACTGACCTGGTATGAAGATGTTGAATCAATTGAACCCGAGTGTGAAGATAACTAGAATCCACTTCATCAACTGCGAAACTGTTGGAAGCTTCTCTTCTCCCATCCTATCTATACCTCCTTTGCGTGCGCCTCGTCGAATTCTTACTAGTCACCAACTTTTGCATTTGATTTCGATCTGTTCATTGCAGTATCGGCATGTAAACCACCCAATTCATTGATTTCTAACCATCCATGGCTTTGCTGCAGCCTGCAAGGCATCTTCAAACTGGACAAGAACTCCACTAGGACAGGAGTAATTAATAGAGACACGAGAAGTACACCAGAGTCTGTAATACTGTAAACACTATCATTCCTTCCCGAAACCACCCAATTCATTGATTTCTAACCATCCATGGCTTTGCTGCAGCCTGCAAGGCATCTTCAAACTGGACAAGAACTCCACTAGGACAGGAGTAATTGATAGAGACACGAGAAGTACACCAAAGTCTGTAATACTGTAAACGCTATCATTCCTTCCCGAAACCACCCAATTCATTGATTTCTAACCATCCATGGCTTTGCTGCAGCCTGCAAGGCATCTTCAAACTGGACAAGAACTCCACTAGGACAGGAGTAATTGATAGAGACAAGAAAAGTACACCAGAATCTTTAATAATGTAAACACTATCATTCCTTCCCGAATGCCCCGACAGATCAACAATCAGACCAGCATAAGTCAAATAAAAAATGGATTTTGTTACTAACCCAAATACATTGTAACCAAACTCTTGCCACCCAACACCAATAGCCACACTTGAACAAAGCCTGCAGAAAGGAAAAACATTGAAAGTGGAAAATAGGAAAAGATTGTCAGAAGTGGGATTTGAACCCACGCCCTCTCTCGAAGACCAGAACTTGAGTCTGGCGCCTTAGACCACTCGGCCATCCTGACATTGATGTCCAATAGTTTTTCAAAAGTGCATAATATCAATTATCTATCAAGCCTGATCAAGAGCACACAGTCGAGCAAAACTAGGACCAGCTACTCGCTGCTCACCCCTTGCACACAAAAACAATTGGGCACTACCCACTAGACTGTTTCCCCAAGCATCTAAACGTTGAAGGCAACAGCTTTAAGCTGCAGCAACAATAAAAGAGAAGGAAACTGCAGATATGACAAATCAAAATCTGACTTTCATGTTTCAATGAGTATTCAGTCTCTTTTTCCAGTTCATCACTCTCACATTCGTCTCTTCTCTTGAACTCATGATCTTCACACAGCTCCAGTGATCTTCCCCTGACCACCACCACTGATTTCCTGCCCACCCCACTTCTTCATTCTTTCTGTTGATTGCTCCACCTGCAAACCACCCAAGTATTTTTTTTTTACCATTACATTCAACAAGGGTAAGAAATTCGTTTCACTTTCTCTTTACCTCTTTGTTCCAGTTGGTTTTGTAGAGGATGAACAAGAGTATCAGTGTCTGCAGCACTGCCCCTGCTATCATTCCTCCCCAAATCCCCTGCATCGATAATCAATCAGCACAAAAAACCCACCAGAACAATGGAAATCAAGATGCCAAATGGAAGAGGTTTCTTTGGTCAGTACCGCTACTCCCAAGTCGAATTTGTAGCCAAGCAGAAACCCTAGTGGCACTCCAAATACATAGTAACAGAATACGTTGATGTAGGCCACCAGACCTTGCCAACCAGCACCAATTGCCACACCTGAAGAAACACAGAACTTCTAAGAAAAACAGAGTACTCTGCCCCCTTTTTGTTAGAAGGAACTTGAGTGAGATTTTGGTGTTTGTTTACCCCTTACCTGAAATCACAGGCTGAACACTATTGAGAACCATGGTGATGCCTAGGAGGAACGCCAGCTTAGACACCGCTCTCTGCAGGTCTCGGCTGTTGGTGAAAATTATCGCGAAATGGTCCTTCGACATCAGCACTGCTACCATGCACAACAACCCGATCACGAACGACTGGAAGACGACGATGTAGACCGCGTATTTCGCTGCCCTGGGACGCCCTGCTCCAAGCTCGTTCGAGACACGAACGCTGGAATAAAATTCATTACCGAACCTCCCAACAACGCGAATCATTGGAATCAAACGATTTCTTGATCAACCAACATATATTTTGTTACCTTATAGCCATGGTTATACCAACGAACAGCATTGCTTCCCAACCATCGATATTTGTACTGCCAAATGAACAGAGTTATATAAGGAACTAGTAATCGTGCCCGGCCCGTTGGCCGGGGAGGTTTCTATTTCTTCTTGAAGGAAAGATTGAATTTGTGAAATATCAATAGAATATGTGAAACAAAATTTTAACTAAGTTTTGTCATATATTCTTTTCAACTTCAACAATACCAAATTTATCATGACAGAAGTAAAGTGTGTATATAAAATTAAAGAAGTTGACAATTGCGAACGAATTGGATAAACCAACTTCATGTTACAAAGTTACACATTGAAACTCCAATTGATCACCTTGCAAAATGGTAAGCATTAAGCAAACCGCAAATCAGAAACAATTCCCATACATGAAAATTGACCTGCTAAATATTGACCGTATATATAAGTTTGCTTGGATTGGTCTAAAAAATTTGAGGGCAACAAATAGATGAGGTTCGTTCTTTATTGAAATAATATCGTTTGTTTGTAGACTTTCGATCTCTATCCATAAAAGGCTTTCACAACAACCAGTTGACATCTTTTCGTTATTAGTCTCTAACAATATACATTTGAATAGTTTATCCTCGAATTTAGGGATGCAAATTTTGTAATGTATGATCATTATTGCACTTATCACTATTTGTGGAAACCTTGGTAAGCTTTTCTTGTCTTGGTAAGCATGAGATTACATTGTATATCCACGGTCCACAAATTGGAGCACATATTTTTGTTTAAATTGGGTTAAATCTATTGCTTTGGTATATAATTGGTGTTAATCTATGAAGAGGCCAAGTTAGAATTTATCTGGCAATAATATCCCTAACCCAAAGTAGAAGGGGGACAATATAGTATCAAAAGTTAAGGAATCACCTAAAATTGGACCGATGTGGAATTTGGTTATTGGAATTGCATGAAACTTGTTCATGTATAATAGTTAATTGAATTCATATTTGGCAAAGCATTAGACAAATCGATAGACATACAGTTGTAGGAAGTTAAAGCTGGAGTTTAGGACTTTGCCAAATACTACTCGCGGAACTGCAATCTCAGGTACAATTCTTTTTTTGAGGCGGGTAATCATCAAGTCTACATCGAAGTAAATTGTACTGAATCGATATCTAGACTAAATTGAATAAGATTGAGTATATTTTGATTATTGATCCTACAAATTATCTTATTATGTAACACTCCAACATTTAAGGTTCAGGTTCAACAATAATTAATAAATGGACGGTTGGATGGACGGTTACGTGCGACAACCGTGGATTAAGAATAATAATAGGGTTAATATTTTCGTATGGCCTGAACTTTGACCAAAATAAACATCCTGGCCAATCTTTTCGATCTATAATATCCTGGCCCGACTTATACACCAAAATAAACAATTTGGCCAAACCCGATGTTTGACCGTTAACTTGGACGGTCAAACGCGTTGACTAACGGTCAACCCGCCACGTCACTGCCAAGTCAGAAGATCTGATAAATATTTAATTTTTTTTTATTTTTTTATTTTTGGTTTTAATAAGGTATTAGATGATTTTTTAATTTATAATAATTTAAAATTGGGAAATGTGTGGAAATTGTGAATTATTTTGAATATTTTATGCTGACTTGGCAGTGACATGGCGCGTTGACTAACGGTCAACGCGTTTGACCGTCCAAGTTAACGGTCAAAAGTCGGATCTGGCCAAATTGTTTATTTTGGTGTATAGTTCGGGCCAGGATGTTATAGATCGAAAAGATTGGCCAGGATATTTATTTTGGTCAAAGTTGAGGCCATACGAAAATATTAACCCATAATAATAATATTGATTATATTATTATTGTTATTATTATATAATAAAAAAAAGAAGAGAATTAACCCCACTCCCCACCCGTTACACTTACACCCTAAACCCTACCCCACCAATTAACCCTCCTGTAACGTCCTTTTTTTCCCATCCACCTCCTAATTATTAAAACTAATTAACGTACGGGTTGAGTAATTACAGGGGTGTCCTCCCTAACAATGCAGGTTGCGCAGGAAGAGCTTATGTGGCAAAGGCTCTTTATTGACATCCGCTTATAGTATTTTGTAGATGTTGCTACTCCTGTTAGAACACAACAAATCTTGTACAACTAGCAAAAAAAAAAAAAAAATGTCACATGGCCAAATAAGCTCACCATATAGAAAGCGAACCAACGGCAATGACGGCATTGTCGAGATGACCAGTAAGAATGGTGACACTCATGAAGTACCAAAGCTCGAGGCAGAGCATGACGGCAGAGGCGATCGACAGCCTGACGAACCCCCAAATGTCCTTAAACGCCAACCACGACAGCCCGGTCCAACCGTCGTTGCACCGGGCGATCACATAAACCAATTGGGCTACTGCAACCCCACAGCTGGTCACATTGTAGGCCACGGCGGCGCCCGTCGTGCCCCATTCGAGCCCGAAAACGAGGAGCCAGAGCAAGGGGACGTGGACGATCAGGGCGGCGAGGGCGATCCAGGCCAGAGCGGTGACTTTGCTCTGTGATTGGAGGAACTTCTGGGTCGGGAAGTAGATTGCGAGGGAGAAGAGCTCGGGGATTGTTAGCAATGTGAATTTCCCGGCTATGTTGGCTATGTGTTCTTCTTGGCCTAGGAGGATGAGAATTGGAGTGGAGAAGATGAGGATTGGGAGGAGGAAGAAGGAGGAGACTAGGAGGATGATCCATGATCTTTGCATGTAGATTCCTAGCATGTGGACTTGTCCTGCCCCGTAAGCTTGACCGCAGAGCGTCTCGAGCGCGCTCGCCATGCCTAGCTGCGAATTTCGATACATCGTGTTAGATTGACCAGGAATAGAGGCGCGATAAATTGACTGGATTCGTGGATCTTTATTCGTGGCCGGGT